TGAAGAGTTTCATTCCAAACGGAGCTAAATCCACTTTGGGTACTTCTGAGTAAATCAACTTTTTTATTTCTCTACTTTCCCTTTAGCCATGGACTTTAAAGTTGTTATATATTTTAAAGGTGTCACCCTGTACCAATAATATATGATGAGAAAAAATCTACCAGTTTTTCCTGATTTTTACTAAATTTTTAGAATTATTTTTTTCGTAGATTTAGCTCCTTTTGGAATGAAACATGATATTGTACCTGGAAAATTTCATATTTTCTCAAAAACGTCACTGAAATTTATTCAAATTTAGTAGCAAACCTTTCTTTTTAAATAATAATAGTGAAATCACAACTAAAAAAAGCTTTTGAAAAGAAAGTAAACAACATATCACATTTTCATTCCAAAAGGAGCTAAATCCGTTTCATTCCAAAAGGAGCTAAATCCATGTTTCATTCCAAAAGGAGCTAAATTCGCAAAATCTAAAAATTAAGTAAAAATCAGAAATAAGTGGTAGATTTTTTTCTTATCATATATTATTGGTCCAGGGCGACACCTTTAACATATATAACAACATGGAGGTACATTGCTAAAGGGAAAGTGGAGAGATAAAAAAGGTGATTTACTCAGAAGTTCCTTCTGGAATGAAACCGATTTGGATTTAGCTCCTTTTGGAATGAAACATGATATTGTACCTACATTTTTTCATACTTCCTGGTGAAATTGTCCCCATGTAGGAAATCATTATTTTAAGACAAATAACTCCATTTTGATAAAATATGGATTTAGCTTCTTTTGGAATCAAGCTCTTCATGTACACATTTGAATTTGTTGGTATACATCTGTCTATCTCTCTCTCTCTCTTTGCTTCTCCTTCCCGTGATATCACCCCCATATATAACAACTAAATTATTCATACCCATACCACGTTTTGTACTTCTTGAAAGTGTTTGAAAAATTGATTTGTTCCGATTTATGTTTTTTGAGAATGTGACATATTAAAGTTTATATCTACAAGTATTCCACAAATTGGTATTTCAAGGATTTGAAATCCCTATTGCTTCAAGCGTTAGATCTAACCTTTGAGAATGTAGGCTGGGATGGTCAGATAAGATGTTGATATTGACGGCGATCGATCAAGAGGGGCATGTGTCCTGTTCTTTCTGTGGCACCTGCCAATAATGCAGCCCTGATTCGTCCAGTAATTGTCACAAATTGACTTAAAAAGCCTCTGGTTTGGTGCATCATGTCATGCGGTAATGCCCACTCCGACTGACCAACAACATCACTGATTTGGTTGGCCTGGCCTGGCCTGGCCTGGCTTGGTTCTGCGATGCAAACAGCGCTATCATGCCAGTAGGCCCTCAACCCTGTTGATCCTACTAATTCAAACCTCATGTACATATATTGTCTCTCTCTCTCTCTCTCATATGACGCATTTAACTGCACCAATTTTATTTCTCATATGAATTAAAAATAAAAGTATCGGGCCGTTATAAAAGGCTGTATGCATCATTACTTCTCTCTATATTATACCGAAACATACGATGCCATTTCTTTCTGCTGTGGCTTTTTTAATTATTTCTTTTTGTTTAGCAGTTCACAACATCGTAGAAAATGAGGCTTAACCTGTCTTTTGGGAAATTAATGAAAATTATCTCTATGGATCTGAACTTCATGCATTAAAGATCCTAACTACTAATTTATATTCATTGAATTGTTAATATAATGATGTCATGTGAAAGCTCTATAGGCTATGTAGTACGTGATATAGGGGTCTTTTTAGCTAGTGAGAAAGTCACTTGACGTACAATTTGATGAGGATTTGTCCTGCCATACTTGAAAGCTAGTGTCTCACGACAAGAGAGTTCACCGGAAATGTTCAACAACGCTTGTGCAAATGCGGTCCATATTTACATATGGTGTTGAGGTCTTGTAAGTCCAGTGAAGGATGATTAGTTGTGCATTAATTCCAAAGGGAATCCATGAGATAAGGAGTCATCTTCTGTTCATAGAGCTAGGTTAACCCTGTCCATCATGCCTCATCTTGCCCAAAGCAATGCCAACTACTCTCAATTCTGATTCTCCGTTTAGACCTTTCTTAGTTTGTTACTTTGTTCCTGTTTTTTCCTCCTTACTCTGTCTCAATATTTCTTTAATCCCCTGTATACAGTTCTATGATAATTATTTTGAAATAGATTTTCTTTCCATGAAGTTCTTTTTTTACCTACTTTTTTGTTGTTTCCTTAATTCCTCTCTTATATAAAAATATAATCTTAATATTGCTTTAACAATTATCACCCTTTCTTATCATTTTGATTATAAATGCAATATATAATTATAATATCTTTAATTATGCAAAGTGATTTTATAACATTTTTGTTTCATTTTGTTGTATTCCCTCCATCCTGTCTTTGTCAATCTGTTCTCTAATTTTCCTCCCCTTCCCTCTGTGTGTTTCTCTCTCTCTCTCTCTCTCTCTCTCTCTCTCTCTCTCTCTCTCTCTTCTCTCTTCTTCATACTCTCATACATTCCTCATCCTATCATCTCCCCATCTCCTGAATGTTCATCCGCCTAAAGAGTGTCAAATTCCTCTCTTTCTTCGCCGAACCTTGGTCGTGCAATTGAATTAGTCTGCAGCATGCGTCTTTTGAGAGACAGCAAAATATTGAATTTGTGAGACCAAGGGAAATGCATAATTCTTCAGGTTTTGTCACCAACCTGTCACCAACCTGTCACCGAAGGGAAGGGTGTAGGGAAGACTTGTGCTATTTCCCCTGGTGTACAATATTATAATTTTTTGCCATATTCATGAAAAGAGGCAACATGTAGTGTTGAGATTGCATTGGTTTTTGAGGATACACTGCTTTAGTTCTTGTTGTGACTGCACAGTGTGAATCATACTTCACTGTAATCGAACATTGAGTGAACTTGTAATCAATAATATTATTTTGTATTTGTTTATTTAGACACCTGTACATTACATTGTAAACAAACAGCTCAGGAATATGGTAATGTTTTAGCAAAATGGGGCAATTTACGTTGAGGGAAATGTTTTTCACTGGTTTTGATATTCCAGAATCAGTCTCTGATTGGTTCGCAATGTATAGCCAGTTTATACTAAAGGAAATGAATACAAAACACGTATAAAGAATCATCGTATAGTGAAAGGAACGTACAGACTAGAAAACAACATATATAAAGAAATGTATAAAGGAACTAATTTTGAATAGAGCCATTAACATGACGGCTAGCCAATCATCAGTGCGCTCTCATGATAAACACCACCCAGTTACAATTTATTTTTATATGATAGGTCATTAAGACTAGAATGGGACCCTGATTTTTTTTTTTATTAGTTTTTGGTTTGAAAAGATGCTCAAACATGTATTTTGATATATGTTTAGTTATACAATATTTATTAATACGACGTTCAGACTAGAAGAAAGTATTAACTTTAATATTGTATACACCAGGGGGGTGTTTCACAAAGATCCTAAGTTGAACTTATCTCTAAGTTGGACTTAAAAATTATGGACAGCCGTTAGCATCTTTGAAAATATTTTGTAAAAAATATTTTAAAAGCCATGAAACGTTGCTTAATATCATTCATATTTTTTATTATCAAGGATATTTCATGTTCTTGATGTGGAATTTGTGAAGAGTCTAAAATTCTTGAATTTTTGCTTTTGAATATATTTCATTATAAGGCTACAAATGGCTCCCCATTATATTTAAGTCCAACTTAGAGTTAAGTTTGACTCAGGATCTTTGTAAAACACCCCCTGGAGTTACATGATTCTCATGTAGGTATACCATGAATTCTGGTAATCTGAACATGTGGTTAGATTCATCATTCATATGTAAAGTTAGGATTTATTTGTAGCTATTTCAGAATACTTTTGAAATAGTTTTTCAAATGAATACTTCTTAATCTAATATACTATGTACATGTAAGTAAGTGATTGATTGATGAAATTGATCGCTATCATGTATGTACATGTACAGTGATCAATTGTCAAGCTGTGTGTGACATGCCCCTGTTCACATTATACACTTCATCAGTCCAACTCGGATGGAGATTCCTACATTGTACGTTCAGTTCCCCCTACTCATAAAAGAATACGATACCCCAACCTAAGAAGAAGACAAACTTGTCTGATTGGAGCCAGAAGGACGTCAACTGTGTAAAATTGTATGAGTTAATACCCCTCTAGCTCCAAGCAGAAAGGCAATTTGATTCTGCGTTAGTTTGAACCTGAAATCCCTGCTTCCAAGGTCACTACTCAAAACCACTGAGCTATTCGTCTTTCCTAGTAATTCATTTTCATGATCGGTCAATCATTTCCTGTGAGGGTGTCTTCTGTGTACAGTGAAACCTGCTTGAGCAACCACCTGTCTGTAAACACCTTGTTTTCCATTTCCCTTGAATAGTGACTCTAGCTCATTGAAACTTTAACATAAAGACCACCTGCCTGCCTATAAAGACAACTTTTCTTGTCTTCCTTGAGTGGTCCTATAGGGGGTGTAGCATGACGAGACTATATGTCTATCCTGTGGCCTGACTCAGGGCCAATCGGGTATAATACGACTACGGACGACGAGACCGCAGTATTCACGTGCGTGCAACATACGTGAAAACCGAAGCGTGAAGAGAACTTTGGTCTGTTTCGCTAACGCTAGCACGCGCTCACCGTTAATCAATCAAGTCCATTCCTTTATGTGCAGTTGTCCAAAAGAAGTCATAGATTGTGTGGACCAGTATTCGCCATGCTACACCCCCTTTGATATGCAGGTTTCAATGTACATTAATGCACATGCCCCATATAACATCATATCCAGCTGTGTTTTGTTGCAAATATTTACTTATATTTTTGTATACAGATTTGAGACCTGATTCTAGCTCTGTGACTTACATGTATGTCAGATGATACATGTATCTTATCACACTTGGCACACCATGATTAAATATCCCTCTCCTTTTATCTCTCCCTCTCTTCTCTTCTCTTCTGCAGCTTTGATGTTGAGAATGGTCCATCACCGAGCAGAAGTCCAGGCTTGGAGGCGGCCAGTCCCTCCTCCGGCCTGGTGCTCAACTTTCCCCAACGGAGGGAGTCCTTCCTCTATCGCTCGGACAGCGAGTTTGACCTCTCACCAAAGTCCATGTCCAGAAATTCTTCCATCACAAGCGAATCGTAAGTCTCTTCTTTTTTTCTTTCTCAAAAATAAATCATATTAACAAGTGTTCTTTTATAAGTATTTTCCATTGAAAGTGAGAAGGGCGTTACAATCTGTGAAATTTTATTTAAAAATGCCCTTTTGGCTCTTTGCATCTTCTTAAAAGCAAAACATGTACATGGAATAAAGATAACTCCTGTGGAAGGTATGTTTTGTCCAGGTCAGCAATAAAAAAAAAAATACATTAGAAATTTAATTTGTTACAATTATTCATATTAAAAGTTAACCCACTGCCTAGGGAAACAGATGGATTTTGTTATGCGCCATCATCATCATGATTTATTAAGTACAGATTTTTCCCTCTTATGAGAGGTTAGTGACTTATCATGATGACACTCTACGTCTTTTTCCATCTAGCATCCCACTCATTTAGATGGACCTTAATGCTTTCTTTCTCCTGCTATAGGAATGACATGTATACTCTGGCAGTCAATAGATTCATTGGTGTTTTCTTTCTTAACCTTCAGACATACACAAGAAGACATTATCGTCACCCCATTCGCCCAGATCCTTGCCAGTTTACGAAATGTACGGAAGAACTATGCTAATCTTACGGGTCTCACTGCACCAAGGTAAAGTATCTGAACGGCGTATTCTTGCCCTTTTCCATTTGTAAATCTGTGCTCCTGTGCCAACTGCCCAGGGCTGTATTTTATCAAAGATAAACGGTAAGGGCTGGGGTTGGAATTGGTTCTTAAAGAGAAGGTTGAGTTCTGGGAAGAGGTAAAAAATAATTTGTGAGCGTTATCACTGTTATTATGCAAAGGTGGAAGAACATCAGATTAAACATGTTCCCTGAAAAACATGGCTCTTCAAATGCCTTCATATTCTAAATATGACATGAAACATCGTAAAAATCGGGGGGGGGGGGGGGGTAGGTTTTTTTCGCCATGTGCTCGTGTAGTCCCATATACATCATTCTGTGTACAGTGCTTGTAACTTTGCCAAGATTTGGCCAAATTTCTTATCATTTTGATGATTCCAGAACCTTGCAATACACACGAATACCTATATACTAGATGATCAACCTTTTCTGATAGATTCCACACCGTTTCTTTCACAATGCAATCACATGACCAGAACTCAACTTTATCTTTAAGTTATTGTTTAATTTATGGGTTAGGGTCAGGGTAAGTGTTTGGTCCAAGGGTTGAAGAAATGAATTTGATTAGTGTAGGATATTGACTGCGGAGCAATTGTTCATGGAGCTGCTTTCGTATGATCAATTACTTTTGTATTCAAACTAATCGCTATTGAGTATCTTTGGTAACGTAACTGTCCAGATTTCATAGGCACTTCACTGATCTAAAGACTTTGCAATCAGCTTTTGGAATTTATAACTTTTCTCTTTTTTTTAATATGCAGAACACCTCCATTCATAATACAGAATCTTTTTATTTTTAGTGTGAAGCAGTAAAGAACAAGGATTAGTGTTTCCAAAACCTCAAATAATAATCATCTCAAATTAAATATCTTAGTCCTTATTTTAAATGAAGAAGAGGCACTTTTTTATTATTCATCTATTCTTACCATGCCTGGGTTATGTGGGGATCGACCTCTACTACTAAATCTTAGGATTTTTTTTTTTAGTACAAACTCAAGCAGAGACTGAGATGATAGTAGATGATAGTATTTTAGTGATATGACTTTGGAAAGGCCAATCACTGGTCATTGTGCATATTCTGTATTCCAAATCTAATTTGTTTTATGTATGTTGACCTAGCAACAGGCAATCTCCAAGAAGTACTCAGGCAAGCAAGCAGTCATCAACACAATCATCGACGGGATCATCAACGGAAGAGAATACGTCCAAGATGGCAACAGACACATTGGAAGAGCTTGACTGGTGTCTAGATCAGCTTGAGACCATGCAAACACATCGCTCAGTTAGTGACATGGCAACTAGCAAGGTAACACTCTCTTCTCATTGCTTGTATTTTATATTTCCAAATCAGGTATAAGTTTCATAGACAGAACTACCAAGGGTGGACTTTATGATAAGGTCCCGGCCGGGGTCAGAGGGACCACATGCATGTTCCCAAAATGTCCGGTAAAGGGGTACTTTTCACGCACCAAAGTCTGGCTCGTAGTACACAAAAATCTGGCCCATATTGACTTTACACACCAGACTTAGGGGTGTTTTCAAAATGAGAGAACATGCATACGCATACCCTAAATAACACTGAGTGGGGGGGGGGGGGGAGAGGCCCGGGGATAAGGTGAAATCATTAAAAAAATACAGTTTTTTTAAAACAGTATGAAATTCATAAAACAGTCTTTAATTTAAAAGCCTTTTTTCCCCAAACCATTTAGGTCATTCAAAATAAGACCAAAAAAATAACTACTGATTTATCATATTTAACTGCTGATTTAGTAAAATCAAGACATTAAAGAGTAAGAAAATTTGAAAGGATAGAATTACCACTACATGTATATACCACATTGTTGAGGACTTTGTATTAGGGCCAGATGTCCTTGTGAGGTCAGTCTTGCAAATCGGTGATTACATCTACTAAAACATTCTTTGCACTCACAGTTCAAACGGATGTTAAATCGAGAGCTGTCGGCCTTCTCGGAAACAAGCAAATCAGGGAACCAGATCTCAGAATACCTCTACAACACATTTCTTGGTAAGTGTTGCAAATTTGAAAGTTATATTTCCAGCGTATGTTTAATGTGGATATATGATCCTAGATATCTATGTAAGATATGAACAGACTTCATAAGAGAGCGTATTGTATAAAAGAGTGTAATATGTAATAAATGTATGTCCACATAATTTTGGAAATTTCAATGTTCCCATTTGACTCCTGTTAACATGGTCATTTGATCTTTAATTACACATCTGTAATTAAAATGCTTCTGAAGTTTGAATGCTGCCATGGAGTTGTGCAGACTAAGCAAGCACAGTTCTAAACAAGATATTAAATTGGTCACATGATGTATGTATACATGTCAGCCGAGCCCTGTTGAAGCATGCCTCTTGGGGGCAGACTCCTCGATGCGAACGTCTCACAAACATGCCAGAGGGCATACACGAGGCGACATAGGATCATGAATGAGGCTTAGTGAGGGGAGAAAAGTACTTTGGATAATTACTAGTGCTGTTTGCTTTATCCTGACAAGATGGATCGCACAAATGAAAAATCATCTGTTGGCTTGTTTTCACAATATCTGAAGTACCAATTTAGAAGATTGATCTAAGCCTTGGTACTAGTTTGTATCACCATGGCAGGACGATATGATTATATTTTAGGGTTATTGGGTCAGACATTAGAGTTCAAGAAATTGTTAGCCTCATTAATCTAAATATTTGAAGGACTCTGTGAGCCATGATCTTCACTCATATCACCTTATAGAGATATGAATTACCAATACAAGGGGTTGTTTCACAAAGATCCTAAGTTGAACTTATCTCTAAGTTAGACTTAACAATTATGGAAAGCCATTAGCATCTTTGAAAATAGTTTGTAAAAGTTATTTTAATAGGCATAAAATGTTGATTTATGAAATTTATGAAAAGTCTAAAATACTTGAGTTTTTGCTTTTGAATGTATTCCATTTGAAGGGTACAAATGGCTCTCCATAAAGTTTAAGTCCAACTTAGAGTTAGTCATCTTATATTTTGGGAAACAAAATGCCTTGTTGTTTAATCAAAATCAACTGAGGGTTGCGTTTATCGTGTCTTGCCACTAAATATGTACATATCGAACCCCACTATACGAAAGTGATTTGCCGTGTGTCTGCGCAGCTGTTTTGCGCCGTTTGACCCGGGAAGCAGACAGTTTCTCGGAGGTCAACTCCACACACATGCTTGTACACAACACGTGGCGTGCGCTAGCCTCCTAACCGGAAATTAACCTGGGAAGGTCCGATTTGTATGTGGGTTTCAAAACAGCTTTGCGTTTATCATCTCTCAGAAACGTGATTCTGGCTGTATGTCACATTCAAAACACACCTTTTTGCGTCTTTAGATATGCCCATATCTAAAGACGTTTAAAAAAGGCTTTGCGTTTATCACCTTCTAAATTTGCCTGAAAGACGTTTGAGAAACCTGATTCTAGGCAAAAATTTGGTCAATAAACGCACCCTTATATATTGTGGAATTAATGTTTTATACCAAGATGAGTAATAAGAAATGCACTGTCATCTCTGAGGTTTATGTATTTTGTGTTATTCCAAATTATGCTAATGAGGTAGCTGGAAATTTCACAGCAATAAAATTTAAAAAAATATGTATGTATGGATATAGATGAATTAAGAAAGGAAGAAAAAGTAATTTCTGTTTAGAATTTGCCACACGCCTATAAAAATATCAAATCAGCAGACGACATTTTCTTATGGAGGGATGACTACCCCTCGATGCCCCAATGGGGAGATGCTAGACTGCTTTCCAGACAGTCCATGAAGCATGCAAAAAGAAGTGATCTATTGGGAGTAACATGTGTGACACCATCAGCTAACGAGATGTAAAACTACACACTCTGGCGTCTGTGCTTTTCTAGAGCAGAAGTTGTTGATATCAATACATGTATATACTTAGTTGGATACTCTCTGTCATGTTTACAGAAAACAGATCAAATTATAATTTACCTTTTTACATGATACTCGGATGACTTCAATATTGAAAGAATTTAAAAACTGAAATACCAAAATAAATAAGGGAATTTCAAATGCAAGAATATATGCAGGCAGATCCATTGCTTAACATGCAATTTTATTGAATTGAAAGGGGTTTAAAACTTTGTGTTGAAAATTCATTAAACGTTTTTCAAAACTAAGATGTAGAAAGGCCAATGAAGGCATAATTCAACTTTTTCTTTTGGCCCCCTTCTCTCTCCCTCCCTCTCTCTCTCTCTCACTCTCCTTTTATCTCTCATACAGATAAGCAGCAAGAAGTTGATCAACCAGTACCCCTGTCGGCAAGGGAACTAGCGCCCTCACCGTCACCGCTCAGCAAGGCCCCAGCTTCCAAGAAGCTGTTGAAAGCCACTGAACTGATGAAGATCAAGGGAGTCAGTAATATCATCGTGACCAAGCCCAAGCACCATAACGTCATCAGTGGTGATATCATCAAGAAGTTTGGGGTGCCTGTCAAGAAAGAAAAAGAGGAAGAATTAGAGAAGGTGAGAGAGATACATTAAACCTGGGACCTGTTACACAAAGCCTTTTTTCAATGACAAAAATCAGTGACAAATCTGTTGACAACCAATCAGAAGCAAGGATTTCAGTAGCTTATAACAAAAAACTGTCATTTGTCACTGATGACAAGTTTTGTGAAACGCCCCCCTGTAGCCTACTGCTCTGATAAAGGCTGGTAGGTTAAAATGGGAACACCACAATGCCACCCCCCCCCCCCCTTAAGCCCCAACCTGCTATTCCTTAAAAACACAAACAATTGTTTGGATTGTGCACTCACCACTCCTCTACATAATGCCGATCAGTAACTGCTGATAGAACAATATTCTTGAAAGCAGTCTTAATTAAGCTTGGCTGTCTTGTAAATGTGTCTACTCTTGGAGTGCCAATGAAGGCTTCTCTATTCGAACAATTCTTCTTCAAGATGAATAGATAAATTGATTTTGTAAAATCGTTATTAAGTATTTGGCATTACCTGTGCCTTGGAGGGGGAAAAAAACTGAATCACTGTATAACTGATTGGGGTTGTGTAGGTGGGGAGGGGAGGGGCACGTTAACACACAACGCATACCTGCCAACCCTTCCGAATAATCTGTAATATTCTGTTTTTCTGGATTTTTAGGACCACAAAATCTGTAATATTCCAGATTTTCATTTTTTTATTTATTTTTATTTTTGTGTTGCTTAAGCCAAATTAAGCTTGTTTTATCATATGCCGCGATGTGAGAGTTCACGTATTGCGTGCATTGAAGGGCTGCATGATTGAGCAGCGAATTTGTATTCACTTTTTTGCACAGATTTACCGCGTATTGCCAGTAATACACTGCCGCTAAGGGTACAGATTTCTTATTTTCGAAGACATACCGTGCTAAAAATTCTTAATTCTCATTTTCAAATGTTGGCAGGTATGACAACGCAGGCTTCAGTCATCCGTTTGGGATGGATTTGGGGTGGTGTGCTTGTATTTCAATTCAAACTCTAACCAATAACGGACGAATTATCCTTGAAACAAACTAATTTCATTTTATATTCCTGACATGTTTATATTACATCTACCAAAGCGCAATTGTGTTACACCTTGCTTGTATTTTCTCTTCAGGAGCTGAGGTTGCTTGATACATGGAGCATCAGTATATTCAAGATTGATGAGATCACGAACCACAAACCCCTCACAGCCATCATCTATAGATTATTTGAGGTACGTTATTTGATTATCATCTCATTTGTCTCCATCTCGAAGAAACTGCTTGATTTTGAATCGAGTTCCTAGTGTTTCCACGGTTATCTCTAAATGTTGATTAGTCCTTGAAAAGATTTATTGTAATGTATCAGAGGATTTTAGCCATGTATGTCATTTTCCTGTCTTTAGTCAGTACATGAAAGACAAAGATTTATTTTTTTAAAATTGTGATTTTTCTGATAGATGAATTAATTTTGAACACTTTTTGACTTTTCCCTGTCTCTTTTCCTCTGCCTTTAAAGAGAAGGTTGAGTTCTGGGAAGAGGTGAAAAATAATTTGTGAGCATTACTCATTCTTATTATGCAAGTGTGGAAGAACATCAGTTAAGACATGTTCCCTGAAAAGCATGGCTCTTCAAATGCCTTCATATTCTAAATATGGCATGTAACATCGTAAAAATCGGGGGGCCGGCTTTTTACGCCACGTGTTCGAGTAGTCCCATATACATCTGTCTGTGCAAGTGTTTGTAACTTTACCAAGACTTGGCCAAATTTCTTATCATTTTGATGATTCCAGAACCTTGCAATACACACAAATGCTTATATGCTAGATGATCAACCTTTTCTGGTCGATTCCACACCGTTTCTTTCACAATGCAATCGCATGACCATAACTCAACTTCATCTTTAACTCATCCTCTTTGATTGAGATCAGTTACAAATAAATCTTACTCAACAATTTTTTAACATTCTTTTACATTTGAACAAATATGATAACCTTGTGTGACTGACTCTATTTGTAAATTCTGGATTTTGTAATGTTAATTAGGGATATAGATATCCCCGAAAAGACAATGAATACTAAACTTAGATTATTTTACATTCCATTTCAATATCATACCTTGAATTTATTTGTGCTTTCTTCTATTTTTGGCAGGATCGAGGTATATTAAAGACATTTCAAATTCCTGAAAAGACGTTCTTGATATACATGATGACGTTAGAAGACCACTATCACAGAGAAGTTATATACCACAATCAAATTCATGCAGCTGACGTTGTACACTCCACACACTTTCTCTTGTCAGCTCCAGCACTTGAGGTAAGGGTCAGGGATGATGATTAATATGAAGAGTAGGAGGAAGAGGGTAGTGGTGGTGTTGAATGGGTTAGTGATGATGCTGAGGAGGAGGGGGAAAGAGGGGAGGATGAAGATGATGATTTTTATGATGATAAGGCCCAAACCCTCAAAACCAAGGCCAAGGCTAACATAATTGAGGAGGATGAAGAAGATGATGACGGCGTTGATTGTGGTGGTGATGGTGATACACTAGACATGTTACATTCCTCCAGTGTAGCTTTGGTTAGATCCCGCATTAGGGCCAGTGGTTGTATAGATGGGATGATGAACGGAGTCATCATGTCATCGTTTTCAGACAATTCTTTTCACTGTGATGTACATTTCTTTAGATCATAGACCTATAATGAAATCACTCCTTATTTTCTTCTCTTTATGATTGTAGAATGTGTTTACAGATCTTGAGATTATGGCCGCGTTGTTTTCAGCAGCAATACATGATGTCCATCATCCGGGTCTAAACAATCAATTCCTGTGTACCACAAGTAAGTCAATATACCCCCCCCCCCCCCTTTCTCTCTCTCTCTCTCTCTCTCTCTCTCTCTCTCTCCATCTCTATCTTTTACAGTTTCACCCTGTCTGCCCTCTCTCGTCTCCTCTCCTGGTGTTTCTCAAAAGAACTTGTACCCTTCAGTTATTTGCTGTTATACCTTTCCTTATTCAACTTATGAGTAGATGCCTTGGGCTTTAGAATTTTCTAATCTAATTAGACAAATTAACTTTTCAGTGTGTATGAATTTTTTGATGTGTTCCAAAAAGAAAGATTGCTTTCTATGATAGTTCAAAAATATTACCTATATATATATATATATATATATTTACCACAATAAATTCTTGACTGATGTAAATCAAACAGAATTAGTTTATGTAGTATATTGTGTAATAAAAGGTCACTATTCCATCCTAGGCATGTCTTTAACAACACATGAAGTTGTGATAAATGTTTCACAGAATTGTTATGGTCTAGAAGGTACTTGAGTGGACTATAAATCAAATGGTTTGCACTTTGAGTAGCATTTCACTTGCAGCTATATTGTCCTTTAGCAAGACCTTCAATGATTGTTATGTTTGTTGTTCTCCTGCTCGGTTATTACAGGTGCAGAACTAGCAATACTCTACAACGATGTCTCTGTCTTAGAGAATCACTCACTCGCCGTCGCCTTCAAACTCCTCCAAGAGGACAACTGCAATATCTTTGAGAATCTTACCAAGAAACAGCTCCAAACCCTCAGGAAAATGTCCATTGACATGGTAAGAACTTGTTCCTCATCTTCTGCCAGAGTATGAATCTGTGTAATCATGCCCGTACATCCAAACATGTTGAAATAAAGATTATTTCTTAATCCTTATGATCTATATCTATTTGAACACTGTGATGTATTTTTAATAAATAAACTTTAAGAAGAATCTTACCAAGAAACAGCACCAAACCCTCAGGAAAATGTCCATCGACATGGAAAGGTTTTTTCTCATTGGGGATCTGACATGTGCCCCAGGCTTTATCTCGTCAGCTAGCAATAGAGCTTGGTTCAATTGGGCTTTTGGTTAGGGTTAGGATTAGAGTGAGGTGTAGATTGAGGATCCTTGGTTTCAACTATTGTTCAAAATTGACTGTAGAGCACTTGACACCACAGCATAGCTCATATGTATTGATCTAATCATCTTCTCCCAGTAAGATTACTGTTGATCACCCTTGAACCTGGAGTTGTTGTGTCCTGCATTTCCGAAAGTTTGGAAACCAAGTTTTATTTCATGCTCTTTTATCTGTATCAACTCTTAGGTGTATCTTTAGTTCTTGCTTTGAAAAATGATCTTAGAAAAATTAGGCATTCTTGCATCTATTTTTCATACCAAAAATATAGTTTGTCTCAAGAATCTGTTAGATTGTGGTCTGTAGGTTTCAATTGTAATATTGAATATAAATTTCATTTTTTTTTTCACTGCATTTGAAGAAATGGGGTACAACAAATGACTAAGTTACTGCTTTCATTATTTTTAAATTACTGTGCACATTATTATCATCATCATCATCATTATCATTTATTAAAGTCGGTACTTTCCCACTGACTTTCACACGATGAAGACACTCCCTCCCTCCACTTCTTCTTGTCTCGAGCATTCTTTTCATTTAGACCACCCTTAATGCTTTCTTTCTTCACCATATCTTTCCATGAAATCTTAGGTCTTCCTTTCACCAATATGAATTTTTAGGGGGTCTTTTGCCGAGAATCCTAACGTATGCATTGTTTGTATTCTCTGTCTTCTATAGGTACTTGCAACAGACATGTCCAAGCACATGAGTTTATTGGCTGACTTGAAGACCATGGTGGAAACAAAGAAGGTTGCTGGCTCAGGGGTCTTATTATTAGACAACTACACAGACAGGATACAGGTAGGCATCATGGTGGTTGTGGTGGTGGTACTGGTAGAGCTGGTATGGATACAGATATGAATGAATAGGATGTTGCCTTTTTTGTTGATGGTTATGGTGGTGGGGGGGGGGGTGATATGGTGGTAATGGTTGTAGTGATGTTATTGATGGTGGTGATGAGGATGATGATGATAATGGGGGGGGGAGGAGTGGTGGTGGTGGCGATGTTGGTTCAGACTATGAAACTCTGGGCTTGTAGAAAGTATGGTGCTTTTGTTCACTGTCCCCTATACTTGAAAATATGGACCTAAGGAACTGGACTTACAAAGAGGTACTGTTGTAAGGATAACAAGAGTAAACTTTAGAATGATCCACAATTCAATTCCCACTTACAGGTGCTGAAGAATCTAGTACACTGTGCAGATGTAGCCAACCCCAGCAAACCTCTTCACATCTATACTCAGTGGACGTCCATGCTGATGGAAGAGTTCTTCAGACAAGGTGACCTAGAACGAGAGAAAGGAGTGGAGATCAGTCCCATGATGGACAGGGAGAATGCATCCATTAACAAATCACAGGTCAGTCAGACAGTTCTCCCAAGTTAGCTCATTGATCAGAAATCGCTTTTATAAATGTGCTTTGTTAGAATTTCAAACTGAGAATTCTTGCAAGTAATCTTGAGGTATAGAAATAGTTATGCAGTAAAAGACATTACAAAGCATTGGGAATTAACTTTGGGTAATGCAAATAGGAAGAATTGGTGCTGTGATAACATATGAAGAGTTATAGCAAAAAATTGCCAATAATATCATGTGTAGACTGTCAGTTTGGTTCCTTGAAATCAGAAGGAGTGAGTAAATGAAATAACAATAAAATATTGACACCTGTGGATCCATGTCAGAGATATGTTAATCGTTTCATGACAAAATTGTTCTAATTAGAATTTTCACTGAATTTGATCACTCCTGTGCAGGTTATTTCAACATGAACAGTAATTTGGGAATAGAATGAAGATTGTGTGAATGGTTGTTATTTCTTTTCTTTTGACCTCAGGTTGGTTTCATAGACTTCATCCTGCATCCTCTGTGGGAGACCTGGGCTGACCTGGTCTACCCCGATGCCCAAGAAATCCTGGATCACCTTGAGGAGAACAGGAACTGGTACCAGAGCCAGATCCGAGAGAGTCCCTCACCCAACCCCAGCAAGGACGGCTCCAACGAGACTAAGACCAATGGGGATGACCTCCATGACCTGACTCTAGAGGACCTGGAAGAGAAAGAGGGGGGCGAGGAAACGACCCTCGAGGACCAGCACACGCCCACCCATCGGCCTAACCTCCTACAGAGAAACCCCAAGGTGGATGACAGCAAGAGTGGTGGTGTGGAGGCGGTGAATGCCAAGAATGTGAGAAGCATGGCTAGAGGAAAGGACGGCGAAGTGTTTAAATTCTCAAAACTGACCATTAAAGACTCCAAGGAAACGGACCTATAGTACATGCTTTCCCACCGAGGGAGCTAGTACCTCCCTTTTTGTATCAACTCTGTGTAGCAGAACAGTGATTATGCAGGAAATTGGTGACAGGATATATTGTTTCCATGCATGATCCAAAAGAGAGATTGCAAGCAGAAACAACAATTGCTTTAAAAAAGAAGTGTGCAGAGGCAACAAAAGAGTAACAGACAACAGGATGCTTGGAGAAGATTTCAGAGAATCTTAGGGCCAAGGTTGAAAAAGAGAGACAAGAGGCATCTTAGTGACCTGCTATATTTGCAAGAGGAAGAAAAAGAAGTGATGTGAAAATAGAAAGCTGTAACATGATGATGCTAGATTACAAGCAGGAAGTACTTAACAGATGAAATGCAAAACCAGAGTGTTTTGGAAGGCTTCCTTAGGAGTAGAAATGCTGAATTGCAGCAACCCTGAAAGACATGAGAGGAGTATACATTGTAAGAATAGAGATATCATTCTCTCTCTCTCTGCATTGTGGTTGGATGAAGGTTGAGAATGAGAGGGATATTGTAACATGTATAATGACTACAATATATTCAGATATAGGTGGTAGCATTTCAAATAGTGGTCGCTTCCAGGTGAAGCTCATTCAAATTCGAGGGCATGCATTTTCAAGGATAGAAACAGAACAAAAGTACTTATAATGTCTACTTGGTGAGGTATAAACTAGAATGTGCCAAAAGAGAGCGAGACCAATGATCAGAATCCTATGTTAAAGTACAAACTGGATGAAGTTTTCCCTGCAACAATTTACATGAGATTTCTGAAGTTCAATATAGTCTCATGTTTATCATGAGAAGTGAAGAGAGAATGGTAAGACATGTTTGGTCCTTGCTTGCAGGTCAAGAAATGCAAAGCTCAATCTGCACAATGAGTTTTCTACACACATGTAACCTTGCTGAAAGCTTTGTGTTGCAAACATCACGTTGGAAATTGATGCTATTGCATCAAAGCCAATAAATGGTGTGTCCTGAGGCCCTGTGTAGCTCAAGATGCCTATATGTAGACTCCCTTGGGGTGACGTAGGGGATATTTGAGGGGGAATAAAAATGGTGGTTAGAGGTGGTATGATTGGAAGAAACACTTTCTGTTTAGAAGAAGCATACATTCATGAATACTAGGAACCTTTACAAGTTACTGAATGAAACTTTGAGGTTTTCCATTCAGAAGTTTGACCATGTTATGCCTAAATCATAGTGAAGATAGATAGCTTGGAATGATGTGTTTTAGTTTAAATTAGTGTGTCTTTTTGATGTTGGTTCTGTTGTTTCTTGTTGAAGAGTTTTGTGACTCAAAGCTGATTTCAAGAGAGAAAGCAAAAACTACAGAAGAGAGATATTTCCATGTTTTGCATTGTTAGAGCGCTCTTATGCCTTCTTGCGTCAACAAAAATGTTGATTATCATTTTAATGTGCCATCAAATCTATAAATATGTATACAAATGTACATCCCATTATTCTTGGGGGAAAATGACAGAATTTTATGAAACATATTTTTTCTTGTATGAGTATTGTATGATGGCTGAATATTTGTAAGAGTACATACAGTAGCTGCTAAAAATGTATTTGTACATGTGCTGCCTCACAAGAGATTTTTGTATGTTTCATTTCACTATATCATCTCATATCCAGTTTTCAGACATATTTTCTATATTTTCTGTAATTTTATAGAGATTTGAATATAGATAGATATGTAATCGTAGCAGTCACTGTTAAAACTTTAAGTAGAATGTTTTATATTCTGACTTTGTTTTTGCAAACAAGTAGATCCTGAATATTGGGACAATGTAAGACTTGATATTAGAACAGTGTAGTTCATCACTTTGTAAAGGAGAAAGATAATAACCATAGTAATCTGATCTGCATTGAGGCATTGGTAGCTTTCAAGACATTTATTCCTATCAGATACCCATTTAGTACACCTAATAGCAAATCCATCAAATTAACCAATGAAAATTCATAAAATTAAAGGGATCAGGTAACTGTGTCTCAGATTCTGAAACAAAGTCCTGGATTTAGCTCATGCTGCAATGATAATTATAAATCTTTAGGTCAGTCAGGAACCCCATGACTTTTACAAGCCAATCGCCTGTCTGATTATCAAGATATTTATGATTGGAAATCAAAATTTCATTTTTTTTTTTCTTACGGTTTAAATAAAACTACAGTCTATTGGGGAATATGAGTATAGTAAAACCGGTCACTCAAACATTTTTTACTTTTTTCAGGCACTTCATGATCATTTTGAAACACAATTTATTTAGGGCTTCAATATTATACAAATAGTACACAGCAGTGAAGGCATTAGTAAGAATCACCCACGCAACGTACCTTTGGAACAGTCTAACACGCCCGAGGCGGTAGTTGGACTGTTTTGAAGGTACCTAGTGTGGGTAATTTTACTAATGCCCGAACAGTCATTATCAAAATTACGCATTAGGCAAAATAAATGCCTGGTCACGTTTACACTTTCAACCAATCATTTGATTAGGATCCACGGCATCATCTTATAATACACCATATCACAGACACTGATAACTCGTAGGACCATGTTATCTCAGATTTAACATTGTTAAACGATACCTTTAAGCTAAAGAACTTTGAACACAATATCACGCCAAAGCAGCAATGTACTGGATACAGGAACACCTGAGCTAGTCTTTCTTACAGAAATAAATGGCTTAAATTGTAATTGCAATGCATTTGAAGCATGAAGCAGCTGGGCTCATGTGATTTATTTCTTTTATTTTATTATGAAAATGTTCCCGAGTAGCCACCAATTGATGACATTGTACATTCTAAGATAGCTCATCTTGCTTTACTGTGTCATTTAAATCCCAGTCTTTATATTTCAATTATTTTTACCTCACTTCTTGAGGAGGAAAAAAACCTTCATAGCAGCTTTATAGTATCTTCCTATTTATCATCTAAAATCAAAGAAATCTATTTTTAAAAAAGAGATTTGGGGGATTACCAAAACTATATATAACCTTCAAATTTATGATTTTTTTTTTTTTACAATAATCATATCTTTGATGTCATAGTGAATTAGAGCTGCTTAAGCTCATAAATGTGTTTGATTTTGTTTCAATGATTTTTATGCCTCCGTTACGAAGTAGCCGGAGGCATTATGTTTTCGGGTTGTCCGTCCGTCCGTCCGTCTGTACGTACGTACGTCTGTACGTACGTACGTACGTACGTCCCGTTCTCGTGATCGCGTTATCTGAAGAACCGATTGATGGATTCCTGCCAAACTTTGGTCATGTATGTATCTTGCGGAGCCGATGAACTGATTAGATTTTGGGGTTACAAGGTCAAAGGTCAAAGGTCACAGGGCTCATTATGTATGCAAAAACAGCTCGTGATCGCGTTATCTGAAGAACCGATTGATGGATTCCTGCCAAACTTTGGTCATGTATGTATCTTGCAGAGTCAAAGAACTGATTAGATTTTGGGGTCATGAGGTTAAAGGTCAAAGGTCACAGGGCTCATTATGTATGCAAAAACAGCTCGTGATCGCGTTATCTCAAGAACCGAGTGATGGATTGCTGCCAAACTTAGGTCATGTATGTTACTTGCAGAGCAGATGAACTGATTAGATTTTGGGGTCACGAGGTCAAAGGTCAAAGGCCACAACGCACATTATGTATGCAAAAACAGCTCGTGATCGCGTTCTCAAGAACCGATTGATGGATTCCTGCCAAAATTAGGTCATGTATGTTACTTGCAGAGCCAATGAACTGAGTAGATTCTTGGTTCATAAGGTCAAAGGTCATGGGCTCATTATGTATGCAGAAATAGCTTGTGAACACATTCTCATTAAAACTGACAGATGGATTACTATTTAACTCAGGACATCTTGCAGAGCCAATGAACTGAGTAGATTTTAGGGTCATGGGGTCAAAGATCAAAGGGTCATATATGTATATGAGAAATTGCTTGTAATCACGATATTCTGAGAACCTGTTAATGGATTACAATTGAACTTGAATTCGAAAAATGTGTTCTGTTTTGGTTTGTAAAATTGCTCTATGACGGAGGCATCATTTTCGACTGCGCGCAGTCGAATTCCATCTAGTTTATTTTAAAAGATAATTGTATGTTGTTTCCATGCAGTTTTTGAAAATCAATTTTCATTTAACTATTTTTTAAGCTTTGGAAATAGATTAGTGAGTTCATTACCACACAGGCATCCATTTCTTGCTTTTAATTGCTTTCTGCACTTAGTACAAGTAGCATGTACATGAAATAAGACAAATGCACAAATCTGTCTCAAGCAATAAACCCATCTTTGTGATCAGCTAGCATGTTTGACAATATAACAAATTTGTAACCCCTGTTGAGAAACTTGCTGTGTATCAAGCTTGTTACATTTTTATCTTTGATCTAATTTTGTTCTCACTTATTATCTACGACTCTCACAATAGAAATATGAGTGTGCTAATCTGAATTTTGCATATGCATGCAATTTGAGAAATGAAAATGAAAGGTACCTTCGTTTGTTTCTCGTATAGTAGTATCAGCGTCGCGCAAATGAAGATTCAGGTGGTAAGGTAGCACAACTCAGAAGATTTATGGTATGCAGTACTATTCAGTATTGGCTGTTGTTGCATGCAAATGTTTCTATAGTAATTATTCAATTTCTGGTTGAGTTTTGATTTCTCAAAGTTGTGTGTGAAAGAAACGTTGGACATGCAATTGGTTACTAATTGGTTTACTAGTAGTTTACTGCTAAATATTTCAAAGAGTGCATAGATATATGGTTATCTTTTATTCAACAATATTAGGCAATGCTTTTATATGGATTCATGATGAAATAATTTATCATGATTTGGCTCAAAAACTGTTTTGGTTAAACAATTTGAATGCATGTACTAATTAGTATATCTTACAGTGAACATTTTTCTGTAACAAATTCTCTCTTGTTTTGTTATAAAAGTTTTTGTGTATTTAACACTAATTCTATTTTTATCATTAAGCAATAGCCAACAAAATGATTTAATTATTTCTGAAAGCAAATTTGGGACAAATTAAAGAAAATGTGTACAGGTCTGAACAATCGCCCATCGGCTCAATCAATGTAACAACAAGTTTAAGTTAAGTTTAAGTGACTAAAAGATTTTCAAAGGTGAGTGCATATTTTTATGAGTGAGGGAGAGTCAAGCATAATTTGACCACACACCCCTTATTTCTCATATCAATCTATTTTGTATATTTTCTTTGTGATATTTATTGGTTTTTAATTGTAGACTTCCTACCCCCCCCCCCCAAATCTTGTGTATGTGATTCAAAGAAAGTATACAGAATTCTGTGTCATTGATTCCTACAAAGTTGTTTTTTATGAATGGCAACAATTGGTCTAGTTTTGTTGCTGTTTGAAGGGGTTCATTTATATATTATTAGATGGTTCTTTATATATTTTTAGATCTATAGTGTTGTACACTTCTATGGAACAATTTTCAAAAATTCATTATCTGAACTTCAGCTTGATTTAAACCAAACAACTAGGGTACGACAACTCCACTTGCTTAACGCAACACAACAGCAACAGACTGCCCAAGTGACACAGTTGTGTTGACCATTTCATAGTTTCAGCGGTCAAATCAAATTCAAGATTTTGCTGAACCCTGAAAATATTTGTAACATAAAAAGATTATGATTGTTAGAATTCTCAGTAACATAAAACATAAGCCAAGAAGTCGCTAAAATGCACAATAAATTGTAGATTTGTCTCATTTCGATGGTGTTCAATCCTTTAGTGCAGTTCATAAGGTATGTTGTATTTACTACAGAATGATATAGGGCTGTCATTATGTCAGAAGTTTTGTTTTTTTTAATTTTTTTTTTCTAGCATAGTCTGGGCGATTCCGCATACTTCATTGACTACTTTATTTCTGTAATTTGAAAAGTAATGAGTTGATTCAAAAGTACTGTTTTGCTAGCTTTCCAAGCTTTGAATTACATTTTAGCTGGAGACTAAGCTCTTACCAATTTCTAGGTCATATTATACCTCATGGTTTGATTCTGCTTTCCATGGAACCAGTTTCTCTTGGAACAGTTCAAAATGGCAGTTGATTCTATTGAAGTTCCTTTTCATTATGCTTTCTTAGTATTTGCAATATGTATGATATTCAACCGCCTTTATTTAGTGTACTTTTACAGGCAGCAGTCAAAAATACCCATAAGAACGTAGGCAAAGGAGGAATTGAAACTTTCGAACAAACAAACTTTAATGAAGGTATGACACAAAACTGAGTTGGATTTTTCTATTTCAAAGGATATTTATATAGCATGACAGTGAGTAATTTAGTCCTTTCTCAAGATATTTTTTTCAGGTTTCAAATTGGCAGTTTGATAAAATTAAAGCTAATCTTGAATGCTGGTGATTTAGTTTCATTTTGAGAGAAGCTATTTAAAAGTAATTCTGAATCATCTATATCATGCAGTTTATTGGTTGTATGGATCTGCGAATGTTTGAAAAAAATAACTAAATTTGCGGGATAGCTCATTCACTAAAAAGCACAACTCATATTTGCCCATAGAAGACCCTTGATTGGCTTGTAACAATCACTCGCATAATCATGTGTGAAGTACTTTAGTAGATACATGTACAAGCTATATAATCTACTTAGTAATGGGTTGACACTTTGGTTTTTATATATGAGGGTTAATCACAAATACTCAAGCTTTTGCGAGTATCCGACATGACTGTTTTGTTTTAACCCTACATTTGAGAGTGGTCATGACGTGGACACATCATAGCCACATAGCCATATCCATGCATTGCAAAGTGAAACTGAAAGTTTATGTGAGTGATCATTACAAGCCCCCTTGTTCTGCACATCGCCAAGACTACTATCTAATGTTGCTCATGACTCCACTATTATACAATTTATATGTGGCTTATTTTATGTATTTATAGTTACACTCTATATTTTGTTGGATTATTATTAGATGAGAACTCAAAATTTCCTTTTTAAAAATGAAAACAAAAATTATACTTCATCATGTATCTTTTTTAAAAAATATGTATGCGTAAAGAATGTAACTTCTCTGAGCTTTCATAGTATTTCATGATTATTTAGTAGTAGAAAGACATTCATTTGTAGGAATCTGAAAATTGATTGCACAGCCCTCCCTCATGTCATAATGGCATGTTTATATTTGTAGTGGACTGGATTTGTATAATTTGTCTTCTATGTTTCTCTTTGTTACCTTTATTGGTATATAGAATTGATTATCTGGTCATTAATCTTTTGGAAGAAGTTATGAAGACATGAAGTTTATAAATCTTTAAATAGTCAATATTATCTAACTTATTATGAACTGAAATGTTAATGTATTCCTTATACTTGTGTGCATGTAAATATACGATGTTACATCAGGTTTGTACCTATACTTGTACAGTGTAGAGAGAAAGAGACTACACATAGAGAGAGAGAGAGAGAGAGAGAGAGAGAGAGAGAGAGAGAGAGTGAGAGAGAGAGCGAGCAAGAGAGATAGACTGGACAGGAAAAAATGTACAATATATACTACAAGACATTTAGTTTAACAATAACAATAACAACTATAAATTATGGGATTCTTGAATAGCATTTTTGTGCTTTGTGTGTTGCCTATATTATAATAAATATTGAGAGAAATATGTGAATATCATAAATGGCCACTGATGGCAAAGATTTAGATGTATATAGAATTTGGGCAATATTTTGTCCCATATAAAACAATTGCAATACAAGTCCGTAACCAGTTTGAGCAGCTTCTCTTTCATTTTATTTGTCTGTCGATGGTGTTGAATATGGATGGTGAAAGTGAAACAAAAGTGGTTGAATCATCACAATTCCACTTGTAATTGTTCTATTTTATAAGCTGCGATGGTGAATGGGGGAGACAGAGAGAGAGAAAGAGAGAGAGAGAGAGAGAGAGAGAGAGGGGGGGGGGGGGGAGGGGGGGACAAAAGGGTTAGTAAACCCTAACACAAGAGATCCATTTACTGTAGCAAAGAAATCGTGGAGATGTTATCAGAGGTATGAATGTATTATGTTCTTGACTTCTAAATAATAAATTGCTGAAAGGAAAGGCAGCAGAAAAAAGCCCTCATAAGTCCATATATACTATCAAAACATGGCTATCCAGGCAAGAAAAGAGGTTCTGAATGTGGAGTGAAGGCAATTTACAGGGAATGACACATAAGAACATGCTGTAAGTAATCATTTAAATATGGTCTGAAAGTTGCCGTCACATAATTGAAGGTACGCATGTGTTTTCATATCAAAATTATATTTTGACTTTCAAAGTGCCCCTTAATTCCAAAATATTGTCATTGTGTGGAGTTTGTACAGCCCCTTGCCCTGAATATTTAAACCTACTACTATGATGAATTAAGTATTATTTTAATGATTTCTTGTCCAACTTTATTTTGTTGGCACTGAGGTCATTCACACAGTTTACATCTGTTCACCATAAATATCCAAATACCAATTCCAATCGATGTTCGATCAAATCATTACTCGTAATCGTGGAAGAATGTGATCGCTATCGGTAAAGTAACAATCGAACGGATCATATCGCATATTCAAGAAGAGAGGGGTGGAAGCAGAAGGTAAGAAAGCAATTTTTTCTTCTTAACATGAGCATGTGAACACTGAATAAGATGAAAAAACATTCTTGCATATGAATGGTTTTATTTCTGACAGTACCCGCACTGGTAATTCAATGCAAAATTAAAGTTCAAGAATCTAAATGAATAGCCGTTTAGTTTGCTCTTCCGCAGATCGATGCGATGGGTGAGATGGCAGTGCTAGACATTGGTTCTTGCCAACCCGGCCCGATCGGCTAGCGCCTAGGTTAGGTACCGTAGTGGCTAGTGTGCACGCTCTACGTCTAGATCTACTGAAGACGAGTTGGAAGATAAAATCGAGTTAACTTAGATGATCTTGCATTACCATCTGAAACTTCTGAAGTTGTAGTCAGCGGGGCAAAATAGCAGTCTTTATTAGACCCTAGACCTAGACTTGTTAAATTTCCGAAAACCCAACAGTCAACACCCTAAGTAAAAGTAAAAAAGTAAAATCTAGATCTAAGTTAGGTCTAGATCTATGTCTGGCTTGGCCTTCGGGAAATTTGTCAACCTTCCACATACACAGACGGTTATTTCTATCTATCCAGCGCCAGGGGGAATTAATCAGCAATTTTCAAAAGTTGTTTGTTTGTTAAACAACTCTACGAAGCAGACGGATGTTTCTGTCCACAGCCTACACAGTGGATGATGATATTAGAAGTCCTTAAAGGAATCGTTTAACAATGTTAAATCTGAGATGCACGGCCCTACGTTTCAGTGTCTGTGATGTGTGATATGGTCTAGGCCTAGATCTAAGTCTAAGTAATATTGAAGCCCTATAAAAGTGACTGGTTTTACCATAGTCATAGATCTACTCATTTTTTCCCAATAGACTGTAGATCTAGCCTAGTGACTTAGCCAGGGAAACGCAAACTTTCAGAAATTCATAATTTTCTTATTTTTTATGATTTCTTTCAAAATTTCGCCAATTTGATTTCTTAATTTTTCAGCTTAAATGTACTTTGCTTCAGAGACAGAATTCTGTATCAAGTGCTAGATCTATATAAATCCAGATTTATTATTATTTTTGAGTGTTGCCTTGCTCACACTCTTGCCTAAATGCTATCTAAAACCATCCTTGTAAACACTTCAAGGCTCTTGACTTTATTTTTGGAAAATAATAAATTTGAATATTCTCTATATAAGGCTTCCAAGTAGTACAATAAATTAGTGTATTTAATATCTTGTTTTTGTATTGCTCAGTCATCCAGGAACTTTAACTATCGATATCAATAGCCATATTTACTGTGGTAAGTCAATTTTTTTTATTTTGCTAGTATAGTTGTCTTCATATGGCTTTGTTTGAGTGTGATACAAGAACATATTGCACTCACTATGACAATATTGGACTTGTCTTCGACTCGTCTAATGTTGTCATAGCTCGAGCAATATATTCTTGTATCTGCACACCCAATGCCAGCCAATATTATATGAATATTCTATCAAAGGTTCATCAGAGATATGCTTCACTGTACATCAAAATGTTCCGCTTCTTGGAGACAAATAAGGCTATATATAGCATCCACTGAATAAGAGACTAGCAACTTGCTCAAGGGATGTGACCTCAAAACACAGCATGTAAATATTTCCATTTTAGTTCTGAACTGTTCAAGGGACTGAGGTTCACAAGTGGCAGATTATCTAAAGGTCATCTCTCTCTCTCCCCCCTTTGACCTCTATGAATGCCAAATACAGAACAAAATCTGTAGGTCCATAGAGAAATCTAGCAACTACATTGTAGCCTGGCTGCCTGCCTGCACTGAGGTTTTATAAGTTATAATGGGATGACGATGTTGTACAGGGCAGTTGGTTTGGCTTAATCAAACTAAGTGTATTTCTCTTTGGTGTTTCTACTTGCTGACATTCTAATTATGCGTGGGCATGAATTTGAACAAGGACATACAGATTAATACAATTGGGTTGTGCAGAGGTGGAAATTAGTTGTCACTCGTTATATTAATTGGTATTGTGTGCTTAATTCAGCTGGCAATCTGCCATCGAGGTGAGTGCACGTGCTTGTGATTATAATTGTATTATATTGCATTTTGATGAATTTCCTTTGACAACTGGTGTCATGCCCCTAAGATTTCTTAAATGTATACATATACCATATCAACATGTTGAATCCATTATAATTCTTTATTCCTGTATCCTTGAATGCAGTGAACACTTGTTACAGGGTGAATAATGTAAAAACTATTTCCATTTTTTCTTTTTCTTTTTCTTCATCATCTTGCTGTCTCTCCCACATCATATACGAGAAAGGGAGAGATATGAAATGGAGGGGGAAATGTGAATAACCAAAAAGTAAAGTACAGTGAGTGTATGGTTGAACCAGATATGTAAATAGCAAATAAAAAAAGATAAATGTCTATTTATTTTCCCTTTTTTGTTGTTGGTTGAAATGATAGATCATAGATGTGATTAATGTTTCATAACATTGATTAGTATCATCTAGAAATGAAGAAAGTTTACTGAAAAATATAAATGTCACCAGCACTACTGGTATGTGTGCATAATAATATGACAAAATGCGAAAGGTATTTGGGAAAGTATCAATGCAAACAGTAGGAATAATGAAGTTGATGCTGCATAAAGATTAATTACAGTCTATTCATTCAGTATTTCAATGTTGACACAGCTTTTTAGAACAAGTATGCAGAGATAACAATGTTGTCAATTCATATTGTGGATTCATTTGTTTGTCAGATTACTGGATATGGCTTGGAGCAAATATTGGACATATAACATGACTTTCAAATGAATTCTTCTGCTGGAAATGTGTTTGCAAAGTATACATAAATTTACAAATCATATAAAATAACAAATAGAGGAAACAATGGGTGCAATATTGTAATGAGTTAGGAGATTTTTCTAAATCATTCACCACATTTTTACATTGACATGGATGATGGACATGCAGTGGTCTTTGAATATTATTATACTATGACTATAGATTGATTTATTTTTGTATTTTTCTATACTCATCTGTTACCTCCTTTGGAAAATAATTATTTTAATTCATTCTTCTTATCTAGAAAGTACATTCATCCTATTTCAAAGAATAATTTAGTATCCTTCTTGTAGATTATGTTAATGAGGTTGCAGATGTGAAGAGGTTGTCAAAATAATTTAATCTTTGGCCAAGCACAGCAATTGACATAGTCAATCATTATCTTGACTTCAAAATGTGGTCAGTGAGCTAGCTGGATTCAGATGCCTAGATTTCCATAGTAACACAAATCTCAGAGGCTGAAAATTGAGCCTTTGGGAGATAATGTCTTTATACCCTAGTACAAATATACATGTACTTTTTAATACAATTCTTATACAGTATGCATGATGTACATTTACATGTAGCTTTCTGTTCATTTATGGTGAACCATTGGAAAGTGAGTACATTTGTCATGAACTTATTTCTTAATCATAACTGAGGTTTAATTCAACCAAATATTATACTTTCCCATGGTTTTGATACAATATAAAAGTACATGTACACACAGTAGTATTTAAGATTTTAAGATTGAGCAGATGAGATTGGTAGGCAACTTGGTAGATGGATGATGATTAGGAAAGATTTATTGGAAGATGAGTAGAGTAATGAGAAGAGTGTTGTAGATTGATATTATGTAGAGATGGCTGGAAGAGAGAGGAATGAAAGAAGGATAGAAACAGACTTTGGGAACATGATCACCTTAATCTATTGATGATAAAGATAGAGAAAGAGAGATTTATTGGAAGAGGAGTAGAGAAATGAGAAGAGTACTGTAGATGGATATTATGTAGAGATGGCTGGAAGAGAGAGGAATGAAAGTCCAGGGTGAGCAACTAATAAAGGGAAATACATAGACTTGGGGGAACATGATCACCTTAATCTATTGATGATAAAGATAGAGAAAGAGAGATTTATTGGAAGAGGAGAGGAATGAGAAGAGTGCTGTAAATGGTTAGTATGTAGAGATGGCTGGAAGAGAGAGGAATGAAAGTCCAGGGTGAGCAACTAATAAAGGGGAAATACATAGACTTGGGGAACATGATCACCTTAATCTATTGATGATAAAGATAGAGAAAGAGAGATTTATTGGAAGAGGAGTAGGGGAGGGAGTATACAAAGGTTAAATATTTCATTTTGACTTTGCTTTCTTTTATTCAATCTTATTTTATTTACCTTGTTCTTCAAAGAATTCATGTTCTGATGAAAGCATCAAGATTTGTGTGTATTTCTCTTCGCCCTTTAGAAGATCAAACAACTATTGCACTATAGAGACAACATAGATGATGATGATCAAACACACTGATATTTTCACATAAAGAACACATCCCTTATAAAAAAAAAAAGAACCATGGTTACCATGGTGGATGGTAATTTGGATTAAAAAAACATGGTTACCGTGGATTTTTTTAATAAGGGATGTCTTCGCTACAATTATAGCAAAGCATCAAGGCCATGGTGTGATTGAAGCTGATTATAAATGTCAGTGATGATTAAATTGCAATTGACGTGTTTAGTATAGCATCACTTCATCTAATGTATAGTGCCAAATAGGTTCAATCATTGATGCCTTAATTTCACCATGCTCTTGTGTTCACTGCATACTGAGTAATGAAATGATAATCATCCATGAATAATGTCAACAAACATCATCATAGTAACCAAAAATTCATTATTTCATCTTGGCTATATAGTATATACAGGTTGCCATTAAGAGGATCATATTGGATGCTGGAATTAAATGTAATTTGGTACTGTACTTGCTGATTGTGTATGATGCAATTATAAAGATTGATAAGTATTGTACATGTACATCTACATGTAAGTCTTTGTTCATCTTTAATGCAATACAACATTTGTGTTGATTGGTTTGTAATGCCATCATGTTCCCACTATTGTTTTGATATTTCTAAGTGACATTAAATTCCCTCCGTGAATATATGATGTTCAATACGGTTTTGTTCACTCTTTTCTAGTAGATAATTAGCTCATCTAATTTTAATGGGATTTAATTTTAGAGAAAGTGTAGGACATTATGGATGTATTATCATAGGTGAGGTGCATATCAAGTTATAGATTGAATCAGCCTGAGTGATTGGGTTTTATGTGTTTGTGCTTTATCACAATGCTCTTCATTTAAACAGTGAGATAGTCCCACAAAATGGCAATATTAATAAAAATGTTTTTCAAAAATTGAAATTTGTACATATTCATGAACATTTTGCAAATGTGAAAAAAGTGCATATGAAAAGTGATAATTAAAAAAAAGAGGCAATTACTCTTTGAAATAACATCTTAAAGATAAATTAGTTGTTGGAACTATTTAAGTGTCCCCCCCCCCCCCCCCATTAAAGTATACATTACTTTTCTTCTTTCGATTATACCTCAGTTGAAAGTGTCTGTAAGCATATTCAATGTCTTGACAATAAAACAAATATATATGCATATTTCCATATTTTTCATTTGTTTTCTTTTACACAGAACCTCATATCCACCATTTGTTACTCGAAGTCCATACCAAATAAGATTTTGGAAAATGAATCGGCGCGCCACCCTCCAAGTAGAAAACATAAACATGCCTCAACGGTCCAGTTTCTTTGATCTGTCCGCACGGCACCCTCATGAGATGGGGAAAAGTTTCTTGGCGCTGGGATGCGCTCCAAGCGACCATGATATTGAAGAATACAAAGCCAAACATACCGTGGAGTATGAGAACACTTACTGTATGGAGCCTAAAAATAGGTGAGTTTATGGAGAGAGGAATGTCTTGATTAACTAAGTGAAATGTGCTTGCTACTACAGTGTGCATAAGGGGGGGGTGGAGTGTTTATTCTGTTTTGCAGGGCATTACAAAAATATCCCTTTCAGAAGACAACAGAATTGTTTAAAGAAACATATTAACATACAAAAAATATTTTTCAAAAGAGGCACACACCTTGATTCTTTGATATCTTAAGAATTAAGTTGACAGCATTTGGAACAGTGTTCAAACCTCCATTTAATGGGAATTTAAATTTAGTTGATTATCATATGGTCCCCTATTGGAATAACAGGATAAAAGTTTGGGAGTCATTCTCAATTTTATGGCATTACTTTCCTTTTGGCCCCTATTCATGTCAAGGCCTGTGTTTGAGTGTTAACAGTCAATACTCATTACTATTCATGTGCTACACTCTTGGTCATACAACTCGTGTAACTATTCCTCTTGATTGGTCAGCAGATTTGTTGCAGGGAGGGTTGAGCCAATCATGAAAGAGGTTCTAGAGAAGCATCTAGAGAAAGTGAGCTATGAACCTACGCTGTGTAGCGATCTATCCAAGACCATCGTATCAGAGATCAAACTCCAAGTCAAGGAACTTGACTTTGAGAGATACAAGGTAAGAGTTCATAGTAGTGTTATCATGGAACGTGGGCCATGGGGGTAATTATCCTAGCTTGGGATATTTGTCAGGAGTTTGTATTTGCCATAGGGGGTAGTTGATTGGGTTGTATATGTCCAAGAGGGTAATGATCACTAGGAATAGTTGTCCAAGAAAGCGATGATCCTGGGAGTGGTAGATGCCCTGTTACATGATGTAAAGAAAAATGTTTTAACATCTACATTAGATGTAACAACACATCAAGTCTTCTTGAATATATTGCAAATATGTTTATTAAGTATTTCTCTATTTTGTACCATATACTGTATGTACAAGTCATGTATTGTACCAAAAAAATGTGTATAATTGGATAGATAATTCTGTAGAACCCAATTTTCATATCGAGATAATCATGAACAAGTCAATATGATTAAATCAGAGGTTAGAGGTCATGATATTATAAGCCTCATTTAATCTCAATATTTTAGCCATGAACTTTAAACTTGGTACTACCATGTTGATACATAAAGCGAAATGTGAACAACCAAAACAGATCTTGGGGTAGGCTAAGTAGCTGTAAGGACAAACATCACAAAGACAAAGGTCATTAGTGATATTGATGAGTTTTGGGTCTCTTACATGCATCACAGTCTCATTAATACCTTTAATGGATGTAAATCATCTATTATGCAGCATTAGAGGAAGGGAGGTACAGTAAGCTGAGTTTGGAGACGAGTCGTATGATGAATGATTGTAATAAATAACAGTTTTGGAAAATATACAATATATATGTACCGTAGTAGAAATTGGTAATAATGAATTCATTGAATGTAGGTGGAGGCATATTGGAGACACGGTTGCATTCATCTCATTTTATCCTTTCTCTCTCCTGCTCTATCTCACTCTTGCTTTTTTCAATCTGTCATTTAAATCTCTTCATTTTTTCTAAATATTCATTATGTTTATTCCATTCCATTCAATTATTTTTACCCTATAATCCTGAAACTAATGCTTTGACATTACTGGGACGCAATTCATTCCAGTGACGTGTTAATTCCTTTTTATATTCTTACTGCCTACCCCAAATGAAGGGTGTAAATTGCAAGGTTTTTTACCAATATGAAGGAGATATCTGCTTGCACCCCTGCATTAGACATTTGAGGAATAAACTCATCTTTTTTTCTATCCTACATGCAGATCATCTGCTTGGTTGATATCGGTGAGAAGCGAGACCAAGACATCCACATGGGAAGCCGTTGCCTATGGGATGACCAACGGGACACCTTTGCTTCAACTACCTATGAGAATCACTCCCTCTTCGCTGCAGCCATTGTCTTTGCCGTCTATTTTGAATGACTGCCGGGCCCTATTAAGCTGCCAATTAGTGAGCCAGTGCTACACAGGAAACCACTGGACAGGCAAGCAAAGTGGGCTTTAATTAGGTGTAAATATCCTTTTGATGGGATGGCTAACCGACCTGCTACTAATGAAATTTGATTAGATTTCTTGTGCCTTCATACACATACTGGAAAGCCTTGGGTGACTATTTATTTAATTTGTGAACCAAACAAAAAGTGTTGGAAAATATGACATGCATGACCGTGTGTCAACATACTGAAAGTGTAAATGGATTTCCCTTGTTCTGTCTGTCTACATGCTTTCTCTAGTATTGCTTTTTCTATACTTATCTGGAAAGTTATGTCCAGCTTGATAATTTTCTTGAACTATCTAGCTTAAATTATTGACCACTAACACTATGAATTGCCTTTATGAGAAGTTTTCTTCTGAATATAGAGTCCTAGACCACTATATCATAGATACATACCATATCTGATTTTAAACACAGTTTCTGCAAATGGTTACATTCATTTTCTTTTTCAGGAGGGCTCTAACAAGAAATCTGCATTGTTTTAATCTGTTATATTTTAAAATTCTTTAAATACCATACCACTTTGATTAAATTTGAATTTTCAAGTTGTTTTTAAGACTCTCTGTGATGTACAATACAAGTCTTTTAGTTTGTGTGAGTCCATTTTTTCCCTAGAGGTTTGCTATGACAAAAAGGAGATAATCAAATTTCATGTAGATTTTTATATTGTAATTACAAAAGACTGCTTTATCACTTTTTCTTTCAATGTATGCCAAAACATTCTTGCCAGTCATAGGTATGTCTTCATTTTAAGAACAGGAAACATAAAACTCAAGTTTGTCTTTTTATTACTATATTTAGCAATCATAGATGCAATAGTGTGTTACTTATATCAATTTGTTTTATCTTCTTTTCTACGGGTCACTTTCGATCAGAAGTATTGTTTGGACTTTTATTCAGCAATTTATGGGATTATTTTTCATTCTGCCTCCGGCCACCAACAGTGGTGCCTGGAGGCATTACATGTATGTCTTGGGTTGTCTGTTCCGCTTTTTCATTATCACAATTTCTCAAGAACCGTTTGAGTTATGAGTTTCAATAAGTGTATTTATCACCATAGCAAGATGATCTGATAAGAATTCGGGATTAGTATGTTATAATCAGATCATCTTGCTCCATAGAGGTCAATTTATGAATTAAAGGTTCTAGCCTCGTTATTGCGATATCACAAGAACCACTCAAGTTATGAACTTCAAACTTTAAGAAATTGGTAATGATGAATAAACAGAATGTAGGTTGATGTATGATCGAGATGCAGTCACAGTATCTTGTTCTTTGTTAGCATGTGGTGAACTCAAGGGGATGCAATAGTGTGCATACTTATTTAGAATATACAGTGAAAATTAAAAATTAAAATACACATTTTGAAAAAATATCCTTCAAATTTATAATTTCAAGATAGCTGCATGACTTTTCTTATGAAATTATGGGTGAGGGTCTAGTCACTCGGATGGCACTTAGAGTATTGACAATATTTTATACCTGAGTGAGCACTTGCTAATTAAAAAAAAAACTCTTGAAAATTGGTTTGCGCAACAAATGTTTCAGCCTTGGAGTGAATCAAAGTGCAAATCGGGCAGTTATCACATGTGCTCTATTAAAGCCCCACTACACAAGTGATAGCTACTTGCGCCCTCTACATAGCAAACAATGCCTAATCGGTCCCCTAGCTGTGCATTTCAAAGAGAATCTACCCTACCTGTCACAAGACCCCAAAACAAGGTGTTGCAAAGTGAATTAAAAATTTAGCAAAAAATATTTTCAATACTTAAAGTGCCAACTGATTGAATAGATCTTCGCCCATAACTTCAGAAATCTTGCAGATATCATGATATTCAAATTTTGTAAGATATTTTCAAAGTGTGTACTCTTTTTTTTTTATACGCACTGTAGAAGTCTTTGTTGTAAAGGTTTACTTTTTTGTTTGTTTTATTTATTTGTTTCAACCAGTTTTGCCAAATATTCATACCATCAATCAGTGCACTATTCTTAAGATGCAATAGTGTGTTTAGATCTTAGTCCGTATCCACAACAAAGTATATACAACTCACAATGCACAATATAAAGTTGCAATAGTGTGTTTAGATATTAGTCTGTATCCACAACAAAGTACATGAACTTGTATAATCTTCTTGTATACAACTCACAATGCACAATATAAAGTTGCAATAGTGTGTTTTTACTATCTGTTTAGTTCATATTTACATCTGTACCAATGTACCAATATTCATCTGCTTGTCTTTTACATATTTGTACAATATCGTTGCTAGCTAATAATAAGCCAGTGTTTATATTGCTATTTGAAATTGTAATCCTTTAAGATTCAATTATATGTTTATTCCCCTAACGATGTACTACTAAATTTGGATATTGCACAAATGAATTTTTTTCCAAAAAAAACTAACATTACAATTTCAATGTATGAGTAGAATTGTCTCTAAATCTGATTTTGGGGGATGGCGGGTGATTTGCAGCTAGGCACAAACCCTTGTTGGTCCTTTATAGCATGGCAGAGTGTCTGAGCTAGGAGACTATACAGAGACTGCAGTCAATAGATCATGTACTGGACCTGCTCCTGACACAACCAGAGAATGACAAAGTTAGGCTCTGCTCAAGATTTGAAGTGTTAAATGTTAGTCTGTGCACGCAGACTAGGCAATAGAGGACTACACGTACATGTATTTCAAAATGAGGGTCCATGTTCTTTTTAAGATCAGATGTGAGAGAATATATGCATGATCAAATATGTTGTAAATACATTTAGAATTGAAATGTTTCATTTCCTGTATAGATAATAAAAATAAAATTCATTTATTGGCATATTGTCTTGTATGTTTCCATTAAATGTACTTGTGCCAAGGTTGTGCTAAGAAGCCTGGCTGTTTTATAAGCTCAAGAGATGTGCAAGTTCTAGAGAGCCTATAAATCAGCCAGACCTCGAATATTAAAGCAGTCGATATGTCTTTTATATGCCGAACTGAAACAAAAATCTACCCAGTATTCTTACCTTATCATTTTATTGAGTAAAGATTGGTTAAAACATCACGGAAAATCTGAGAAAATGTTTGTTTATCTTTGCTGGAAAAATGACTGAAAGTTTCAATCATTTCGGGAATTGCATACAAAAATCACTGTATGGCTTCCGCGCTCGCACAAAGGAAATTTTTAACACGTAAACCAATAGGTATAGCAGCAAAATTTTACTATTTTCATGGTAACCAGAATTTCGAGGGAACTCACTCTAAACTTTGACTATTAACTGGTATTGGCATTTTTCGTTTCTTTGTGGGAATGGCTAAAATCACGACTCCAATTTCGACCAATCAGATGGTTGAATTTCTTAAGTGAGGTATATAACATGAGTTAATGCCCTTCTGGCTAGATATATATAAATGATTAATTCGTATACTAAATCTGAGACCAGTAACATAAAAATTGACTGACAATCAACCACTGTATCTCCAATCTGCAATTCTGCAAATTGTGTCTCGTGCATTTGTAACATAAAATTAATTGTAAGATTCTACATGTACATGTTGTATTTATTGTAAAATTATGAAGTTGTGCAGGCGATACAATTAAGTTGGGGGGAGACTCATTCACCTACTATGAATAACGACACCTCTATGGATAGAATCCACTCATGCTGGTACAAAATTGAGCAGACCATATAGCAGTTTTTTATTTCTTAGTTATATAAGGTTTGACTGCAAAGTAAGACTAACGTTACAAGATCCATTACTTCTACCTCCTTGTTCTACTATCACAAAGAGGATTAATGATAATGGGATAATACTTTTAACAGAAATATATCAATGTTTAGTTATTGTCGTTGTCATCGGTTATTCTTTGTATACTTACAAGAGATATTTAACTGACGTTGAAGAAATGGGTGATAACTATTGTCTGTTTTCAAGCAATTCATGTGAGTGGAAATGTGTTTAAACTAGTGTTATGGTTAAAAGCTAATAGGGAATTCAGGTGCAAAAAATTGTTATTCTGATATCTCACCTATACATTTGTCTGGGGTTTAAGGAAATCGAGAAAAGCATAATCTAACCGAGTTTAATAGGCCTTTAACGAATTGAGACAGAAGCAACTACAACTAATATGTAATCATTTATTAATGTCCAGATGAGATCACGTCTAGAATATGTTATTCGTCAACCTGGAACTCTATCTCATAGACCAGAGCATGTCCGTTGTTGAAGGCGTAGAGTCGCTGGTCCCTCGGGTTGTACTTGAGCGCCCTGGTCGCCAAGTACTTGCTGTCGAAAGGGACGTTGAGTGTTGTGGACGTCTGGGTGGTCGTGTCGTACATCATCACGATCCGGCCATCGTGCTTGTTGAACGAATCAGTGCAGTAGAGCTTCCCACATACCATGAAACACTCGCCGAAGTTGGCCTTGAGTGTGTTGGTGTTGTAGGTCTCCTCAACCTCCAAAGTCAAGGGGTCGATCTTGCTAACGGACATGAGTCCGCTGTTGGTAGACTTCCCGTAGATCACCCACAGGCCCTGCTCATCGACAGCAAAGTCCATGCTCGTGTAGCCCCCGGAGAGATAAACATAATTTGTTTTATACCCCGCATTCGGAAGGGCTCGTTGGTTGGTGACAGATCCTTCTCTGTAGTCGTATCTTATGATGGTTGCAGACCCATACATGTTATAGAACAGTGCGCCGTTGTATGCAACCACACTGCAACCTTCCAGTGTGTATCCAGGTAAATAGGTCTCATGAATGCCTTCCGTCTGGAATTGCTCAATAGATAGGTAACGTAGGATAGACGAAGCTGTAGTAACCCCCCTAAGAAATAAAAGATAAAATATTTTGACTAATTTCAAGAGTTACAACTATAGTGATTAATCATTCTGACGGGTGGTAACCTTCTATTGTTATGAAAGCATTCCAAATTAAGGGAAGTAACATTTAAAAAACCTGGTGGGGCTAAGACGTCATTTTTGTGTGCGTTTTTGTGTGCGTTTTTGTAATGATTTTAAAGTGCACAATTTCCTAAAGTTCGGTTTCTTTCCTCCCACGTATTATGTTGCTTCAGAATATCAATATTTCGCGCCCCAGTATAGGATATAAACCCCTCCAAAATAGTTAAGAAATCCAAGTTTGATGGATTATATCTCACTTGTGGTATAATCATAGCCAGAGGAGGCCCTCCCGGGAGCAGAGGGGGCACAGTGCCCCCCCCCCCCCCCCCACCTTTTCAACCACCCGAAAAGTGCCTCTTTTTACATAGGAAAAGCGCCCCTTTAACTTTTTAAGAAGTGCCCTTTTTTACATAGGAATAGTGCCCCGTTTACTTTGACAAGTGCCCCTATTAATTTGTAAAAATGCCCCTTCCCCTTTTCAACTCTGATAAGTGCCCCTTTTCCTTCGACAAGTTCCCATTTTTCTTTGCAAAAAGTGTCCATTTTCCATTCTGATAAGTGCCCCTAGTTAGGTACGAGAAGTGCCTCTTTTGATAAGTGACCCCTTCACCTCTGATAATTGTCCTATTTAAATCTGAGAGGTGCCTCTTTTACTTTGACAAGTTCCCATTTTCCTTGTAAGAAGTGTCCCTTCCCCTTTTAAGAAGTGTCCCTACCCCTATTTAAACTCGGATAAGCGCACCTTATATTTTCACATGTGCCCTTTTTCTTTCTAATAAGTGCCCCTTTTCCTAATATTAAGTGCCCCATTAAAAAAGAGCCTTTTATCCTTCTCATAAGTGCCCCTTTTCTGGTAAATGACCCTTTTCATGTACGAGAAGTTACTCCTTTTCACTTCAGATAAGTGCCCCTTCACCTCCGGTAAATGCCCCTTTAAAATCTGATCGGTGCCCATTTTCTTTTAACTAATGCACATTTTCCTTTATTACAAGTGTCCCTTTTTTATTCACATAAGTGCCCCTTTTCACCTCTGATAATTTCCCTTTTAACAATATATAATAATAATATCTTATAAATGCCCCTATCAAAATCTGATGGGGGCCCCTTTTCCGTCGACAAATGCCGACAAATGCGACAAATTACCTATTCTCACGACCAACTCTCTTCATCCCTGGTGAGTGCCTCTTTTTGAGGGTGTAAGAAGTGCCCCATTTTCATCTCTGATAATTACTCTTTGTACGTTGGCACATGCTCCTTTTCTCTAAGTGTCCCCTTTTCCTCTCATCATGAAACGCGCCCTGGCTAATTTCAAGCGACTAAGAGCAATTTCCCCCAAAACTCACTCGCACGCATCTATGATGATTATCATAGAGGTATCTATGGTTATTATACAGTGCGTCCCAGAAAAAACGAAACCGAGAAGTATCGATGTTTTATCATAACTTAATCACAACCATAATTAATGAATGATACATATTTGGAAAGCTTAGAGTCTACTCTTTCAGTTGATGCTACTCGGATGATGCATATTACACGCATGAGTAATTAAAAGCAATTTGAAGGAAGGAAACCAAAAAGACATTTGGCGGGCGGTATCTGAATTTTGAAGATAAATTCACATTTCTAGAAAGTTGAGTTTCTGCCCTTTCATAAGACACCTCAATCAGGAAAAATGAGCGACGAATAACAAAGTTCTGTTTGTTTAAAGTAGCCTTTACATTTTCATAATTTTAACAAACGAATTCGTTTTCACTGGGTGCCTGCCGTAGCAAAAAGCAGATTTGACAAAAGGCTTGACTCCGTTTCGTTGACAATCAGCCATGCATAAAGACTCTCGTCTACGGCTGATTGTCGACGAAACGGAGTTAAATCTTTTGTTAATTTCGGCACGCCTCGGGCAATAGCACAATTCTAACCTTCCCTTGAGCGTATAAAAACAACTATTTCTCTCAAAGCAGTCATTAATACTATACTATTTTACCTTTGCATGTCGACACTGCCAGTGCCTTAAAAGGACGTGACACGTAGCAGTCCACTATGTCGAATATCTAAAAGTCCCTAATATAACTTACACCTGATACCAGGGCCTGTCCACGTCTACAATGGGGTCCATAAACCACACCCCTGTGGAAGCTAGATTACCCCTGAGTGTATACGGCTCTGATAACCCCCTGATGGTTCCACAAGAATCTATAAAGGAAAACATAATAATGATGATAATATTATAATGATTGTATGAGGATTCATCAACATCAATACTGTTCTTCCAGAGGGCCCTGGCATTACTTTTACCCCACCAATTGCCTGGTACCCATTTACACCTTGACGCCAGCCTGGGATTCGTACATTCAACCCTATGATTGAGCGTCAAGCGTCAACTTCCCCACTTATCAGAACCAGGGATGGAACGTTTCTTGCAGAAATTACTCTTTTTATATTGAAATTGATGTTTTAAACAGAGTTTTGTATTTCTCCTATATCTCGATTCAAATCTGACGATCTTCAGCCCACTATTATACACTCTTTAGTATCAATCTCTTTTGATTATGATTTGGGATACACCATTATACAGAATGAAACACACACCTTTTGTCTCAAAATTTTCCCATGGATATGGAAAACCGATTTCAGAATCCGGGTCATTGTCCGCCTCGCATTCGGCAATCTGTTGCTGAAGGTCAGCGATGTCGCGCAAGAGAGATTCGATGTCGCCATCGTTGTTGACTTCCAGGGAATCGAGGTTATAGCTGATGTTGGCAATCTACATAGCATAGCATTAAAATCAAGATAGGATTAATTAACACATTCATTGGCCTTAATCTTGACCTTTTATGTTTTACTGCGATTGGTCTCTACAAAATACAAGCATGCATACCATAAAATTGATGTAGCTTACTATGCAAATTATTTCTTTCGAGCTATTTTTCATTCGTACGGGACACATTGCATGGCGTCGCCCAAATAATGATAACAAGAAGGTTGAAATTAATAATATTGAATACTTTTTTTCCTTTATCTATATTCAGGCTTTTTTTCTTCTCACTTTCGTATAGTTAGATTTGGCTTTGGCTTCTTCTAATTTTGCCACAAATTCTTCCCTGTTATTCACATCTTTGTTTTCCTTCTTACTGCAATTATGTAAAAGATTACAAGTGCTTGACCAGTCTTAATTTCGCACTGACATTTAAATAAAAAAACTATTTTGCAAGCATTCGAAGAACGTCTCTCAGACTTCCGGTTTAGAAAACCTAAGCTTTGGTGAGGGTGTGTGTCAGTAAACATACATGTACGATGATGGGGCGATAACTGGAACTAAGTAGTCAAAGTTTTTAGGAAGTATTTTTTGTTTAATAAGTGATGGAACACAATAATTATTTATAACCATAACAACAATTACAGTAGCAATAATAATAATACATCCATAGACTGACAGAGGCTTTTCTCAAGAGGGTAGGAATTGTGGAAAGGGTTCAAATTAGATTATGTGCGGCCTGCAGATTAGTGGTATGGGTACTCACCTCCTCTCGTAGTTTGACGATGATAAATTGATCGGCATTCTGATCCTCAAGATAGCTGATGAGCGTTTCCATATCCTGAAGATCCATTCTGATGACGTCATACTCGGGGCTGGAGATGACGATCTTGTTGTCGATGATACGCTCTTTGATGGCGTTGATGTTGTCCATTTGTTCGTGCATGGCGATGATGTCTTCTCCTTGTTGATTGAACGTGACTCGCAGTGTTATCAACTCGACGTTGATATCCACTATCTGTCAATTATAGAAAACATAATAGCCCTCAAAATTGTACAATCTGCTGTGTCCAGGAATGCGAAAATGATTTTCCTATGCCTTTAATCGTATTAAAGGCATAGGAAAACTCGTAAGTTTAGTTCATTTCACTTATAAAAATTCACATCGACGGGAAAAAAGCAATGTCTATCAGTCCTCAGGAAAGTTGCATTGGTGTAGCCAAAGGAGTGCCCCCACCCGCGGTAATGATTATGTTTTGAGGGCACATTTTGCCTTTAATAAAACGTATTTTTCATAGGCTACTCCTCCAGTTTTGTTCAATCTGGGTAGTGGAATTAGGAGGTCAGTCTAGTTATAAAATCAACGTCTCTTCCATAACGAACGAATATGATTTTTCGTTTATTCTCAAAGTACAAAGTAAGTTTTCTTTCTCTTTTTGACTTTTTTCTTTTCCCATTATGACTAAATTTATTAAATGCCCGAACGATTTTTCATGGAACATCTGTCGAGGTGATCATAGTTCTCAGGACTCTGTTTCTTAAAATAAAAAGTGCTTTATAAATTATATCCAACTATTTTCATCAATATCATTTATTAAATGTGTTCATGAACACATCTAACTACTAAAATTCATTGTATTATGCTTTCCTAACAAAGATACTAATTGTTTTGGTCAAGTGCAAGATATTTACAACATGTAACAGAAAGAGTTGTTATACGTACGGTACATACCTGTTGATCGAGGTCGCGAATCATCTGCTGGAACTCCGCACTGCTTACCCCAGAACCACAGGATGAGCTTAATGATGACGTCACACCACACACACAATCGCCATTCTCTGTGACCGACGAATTCACGTGAGCGTATTCATTACACTACATGAAAATCAACATAAATAATTATATACATCTGAAAAATCATACAAGAGCTCCCCAGCGGAATAAGAATTAGATGTGGGCTACTCCCCCTCTCCCAAACAAAAAGTTCTATCGACGCCCCGAAACCCTTATACAACAATTACTTTCTGTTGAAATTTTATTTTAGTTTTCAAAAGCCGAAAAATATCCACACACAAAAAAATCCATCTGAGTTCAGTATTGGAAAGTTTGTTAGTATATCGTTAAAAATGCAATTCTTTTCAATCATGGGATTAGTGAAACGCTGAATATTGTGTGTAGCCATTTTGCTAGCTGGATACATCCAAGAACCACACCCTCCACACTAAAAAAAGAGTCATAATCCAAAAACAATTATACGAAGCGGGTAACATTGTTGCTCTAATGGGAGCTATAGTCTACTTTGATAATTCCTCGACTCTCTCTCTCTACTCTCATGTTGTAATATAATGTGTTTCGGAAGGGAAAGTCCTCCAGAATATCTCGTGAAATAAATATAGTTAATTTTTTAATTGAAATACATCAAATAAAAAATAAAACCACAATTGTGATGATATAGTAATAAACAACATAGAAAACGATTTCAACAATAGATTACGATCTATTCATCAAAACAATGAATATTTGGTATCACGTGAATTTAACTTTGCCTTGATTATTACGGATATCAGGACTTTTTGGCCTGATCATATTTTTGTAATAATAATTGATTGGAACATTCGTGTTTCCTTTTCAAAAGAACCCATACAAGGAGTAAAGAGAGTGGGAAAGGTAATTTAGAAGAACAACAAAAATCACAAGACAAAAGACATTTACCTGTGCGTTTGCATTCGACATGCACCTGAACGCGACGATAAACAGCATGGCGAGGGCGGCCGGTGATATCATTATGCGGGAAAACGCCATGATCGTCGATTCTAAAAGAGGGGAGGAACAAGAATATAGTAGCGTTCACTGGCGCTTGGCTGCTCTGTCTTTCGAACTCGAACTGTGTCTCGATTGCTTAATGGCAAGAAGTTAGTGGCCTCTTATTCTATTTTCCTTTTTCCACACGACACTATTTTCAACATTTTAGCAGTTAAAAAAAAACATACGCGGAAGGTCGTGTCATTGTGTTAAAGCTTTGCAGCTGGTATTGGTCTCACCAGGGGCGGATCCAGCCGGCGGCAGGGGAGGGGGCCCGATTCGTGAGAAAATATTTAGCGGCGAAACAGCCGGCCAATAATTCGCTCAGTGGAAGGGGGGGGGGGGGGGGGTAGTGAGCACTAATTTTTTTCTTTGGCCCTCAAAAATTTGAAAAATTGCACCTCTCCCCCCCCCCCCCCCCCCCTTGAGCGCCAGGGAGGGGGGCCTATCTCAAAAAAAAAGTAAAATTAACGTGAGAACCTAGCCAGCTGAGGAACTATTTTTATGGCTTTTATAGCTTGATGGTTATGATCAAGGGCCATTAACGAAATCGTGCAATGAATACGCATAATCTAAATAATGGTGAGAACTTAGCCTGCTGAGTAATAAATTACTTGATTTCAACATTCATGATCGCTGATGGTGTGAAAACTTATCGTTGAGGCAGGTTTTCAAAATAAATTATAAGGACTGCCCTCTTTACCTCTCCCTCCGCGCTTTTCACGCATGTCGGAAAAATTAATTCATGATTTAAAAGGCGGATGCCAGATATCAAAGCCTCATATTGCCTTGCAATGCCTCGCAATCTACACACTGAAATCACGTGTTTTCAACAACATTAAGAGGACTTCTCATAAGAAGCTGGCAAGATGGCAACGAAACCGATAGTTGCGATGCTCATGTTGTTTCTCCTGTGTTACACCTCGGAAGTCTCAGCACAGGTAAATGATACTTTAACAACTGATTGTGTCATTTTATTGTTTTCATTGTATTGATAATTAAACATTTGCCAGGCGAGACGAATTCCAATAAAATCTGTAGAAAATGACAAAATTAACTATGATATTTGCGCGATCCCGGATTTCCAGGACGAAATTAAAGTGCACAAAGATGAATTCGAATGAATACAGTTTCAAAATAGACAGGGAAACCTATATTGCGCAGCCAGTTGACGGGAAACTTCAATCGTGGTTACCTTGCTAAATTACTTGACCATACTTTATCTGCACAGTTTTCGTCAATGTTTGGCAACAGTTCGAGGAAAAAGTGAATAGAAAATCACTGCTCAAAATTAAATTCGAGCTATACCATCCGATTGCAATGCTCCCTTGCAATTTTTTTAAATGGGTAACATGCATAAGAAATGTTTATATTATCTTTGTAGAGTTCAAAATTGCCATGATAATAATAATAATAATAAGACCGCTCCTTCCCTTCGGTCCCTTCCCTTGTTTACATAGATACGTTTAAGTGGTTAGAGGCAAAGTGTCATAGTTTGCCAAATGCCCCAAAATCCATAGATATAATGCCACCGTTCAAGATTAACTGTATTTCAGACCAGTAATTGACCTATATAGCTTAAGATTTCTTTGTTTAAAGTAATGTTGTTTTTTCATTCGCTTTATCCCCTTTTAGTGCATCGAATACTCTGTTTTGGGGAGTGGAGAAAGCATGTATGATTCATGCATCTGTGATATCCAAGTGGGATCTGTTCCAGGATGCTCCAACCCTCCAAGCCCAGCTGAACTTAACCAGATAGAATATATACAGGCTCAGGTAAGACAGCAGCATCACCTCGGAGAAATATTTGTGATATTGGGAGAAATAGAAAATGAAATTCTTATTTTCCCACCATGATAGAACGGGAGGGAACTAATGAGTCGCCGACAAGAAACTCAATGAAAAAAAAAAGATGAAAGGAGGGGGGGGGGTGGGTGGGTTCCGCATTTTCAGTCATCGAAATGTTATTTGCCCATTGGTATGATAGGCGGGCATTCCCTCTTCGCACGCAAGGGGGACATTTATCTAAATTTCGCTTACAAGCGAAAAAAATGGTCATCAGGTATTCTGTGTGCACGTTTTTATTAAAGGGGGTGCTATCGCATCCATCGCACCCCTGCCAACGGGCCTGTTCACACAATTGAAAAGAATTTCTGATAATTAATTCATTTCAATAACTCGCCGACCCTTCTTATCACTTTTATTAATTTGAAATGTGCGAATATTACGACGTATGATTTAAAATATTGGCAACAATAATAGATGATCAAATATTTCATAAAGGGGATCCTTTAGTCTCATTATTCACGGAACATGTTTTCTATGGGGATATTCGGTATTGAAATTTAAATCGATTTATATTTCATTTTTAAAATAATTACAGGTAAGTTGTGCTGGTCCTGACATGCAGGGGCGTCGCTAGACCTTTTCAGTGGGGGGGGGGGGGGGGGGGGGGGTGTAGAGGCCAACGATAACCGACAAAACTACCACCAATTACCGACAAAATTAAATGTCCAATATCTCCGCGCGAAGCGCGGAAGCTTAGACGTTTCCTTAAATTATTAGGAAAATAAGACGATTAATTGTACCGTTTTCGACTGTTAATCCTGGGCTGAATGAAGTCCCCCCCCCCCCCCTCCTGCGCAAAGCGCGGAAGCTTTGATGTTTCATTAAATTATGAGAAAAAGCAGACGATTCGGTGTACTGTTCTCGACTCTTAATCTTTATCTGAATGAAGCTTCCCCCTCCCACACGAAGCGCGGAAGTTTTGACGTTTCATCACAATATAGAGAAAGGAAGACGATTCGTCGTACCGTTTTCGACTCTTAATAAGTCCTATTCATCTCAATTCAGATCCCCCCTCTCGCGCGAAAGCTTTGACGTTTCCTCATATTATTAAAGAAAGAAGACGATTCGCTGTACCGTTTTCGACTCTAAATAAGCCCTATTAATTTTGTCTGAATTCAGTGTTCCCCTCTCGCGCGAAGCGCGAAAGCTTTGACGTTTCCTTAAATTATTAGAGAAAGAAGACGATTCGCTGTACCGTTTTCGACTCTAAATAAGCCCTATTAATTTTGTCTGAATTCAGTGTTCCCCTCTCGCGCGAAGCGCGGAAGCTTTGACGTTTCCTTAAATTATTAGAGAAAGAAGACTATTCGTTGTACCGTTCTCGACTCGTCTAAATGAAGTTATCCCCTTCCGCGCGAAGCGCGGAATTTTTGGCGTTTCATCACGACAATATAGAGAAAGGAAGACGATTCCTCGTACCGTTTTCGAATCTTATTAAGCCCTATTCATCTGAATTCGGTTCCCCCCACGCGCGAAGCGCGAAAGCTTTGACATTTCCTCAAATTATGAGAGAAAGAACACGATTCGTGGTACCGTTTTTGACTTTTAATTTTGTCTGAATTCAGTTTCCCATTGTCGCGCAAAGCGCGGAAACTTTTTTTCCTTCCCCCTTTTCTCTTTTTCCCGACGGCAAGCAATTTTACCGACAATATCCTGACAGGTGGGGGTGTCGCACCCCCCACACCCCCCCCCCCCCTTTGGCGACGCCCCTGCTGACATGACGGAGGGATGGGCACTAATCTTCCAAATTTTAGTTTTTAATTATGTATTAGATTGCCAGTGAACCTCCGCTTAAATAGTTAGCCTGGCAAACCTAAGCTATCCATGATGATCTGGTGAAAGTGACTACGATTCCTATTTTTGCAATATCAAACAAAGTAGTTCTTTTTTCTGGTTTGATTGTTCGTTTTTTAATACTTTTTCACCAATGATTCGCTTGTATATAATTTGTATGATCATTATATTTCATTATTGTGTTTGTTATATCTGTTTTGTTATATGTTATGCTTTTAAGAAATCATTACAAATTTTGTATGTGTGTGGGGGGGGGGTGGAGAAAACAAAGAAGAATTACGAGATAGAAGTCTGGGAGAAGGATCATGTAATCTTCTTTTTCATGTTGACCCCCCACCTCCTAATTTCCTTCTCTCTCTCTCTCTCTCTCTCTCTCTCTCTCTCTTTCTCTCTCTCTCTCTCTCTCTCTCTCTCTCTCTCTCCCCCCCCTCTCTCTCTCTCTCTCTCTCCCCCCTCTCTCTCTCTCTCTCTTGATTACTGTTTTTGTGGGGTGGGGTGCCTCTCCCGGACGCATGCACGCCTCTAACAATTTGTAATAATTTCAATTCAACTCGACTTCCTTGAACTTAGTATGTTCTCTTGCATAGGTCACGAACATTAGCATTCGCATCGACGAAGTGAAGGTGAATGTCGAGACGAACACGGTCGAGATCGAGAAGACACAAGCCAACCTCGATGCCATCACATACAAGCTTGAGCGCATCGAGAATGGTGATCTTAAGGTCAACCGACCAGAGTTTGAACTGATCATGGAAGAGATTGATAAACTGGAACTGGTCCTGGAATTGTTAGAGGTGGAGAGAACCAACAATCTGGATGCTGTCGCACAGTTGGAAACAGAGGTACTGAGAAACAAAAGAAACAAAAAAGATACTTTAATACTGAATATCTAACTATTTTTAAAAAAAGAGTGGTGCCGGGGTATTGACGTGGAGAGTTGCGGACCCCCAAAAAAGGAAGCGGGCGGGGACACTGAACATTTATATTTTGTTAAATGGCCTAATAGGCCTTTGTATCATTTTCATCTTTACATCCGATTTAAAGTATCCTTGTAAATAGCAGGAAATACTCAAGGACGTATATATAGGAGAATTACTGGAGTAGTGTTGAATCTAGGGAGCGTAACTATGCCGTGCCTTCTACCCCCTTTGAAAAAAATGTAGTACACACACAGAATATGCTCGAAATGTTTTTTTTTGGGGGGGGGTGGGTCGCCATCCACCCCCCCCCCCCCCAAACCAACCATTATACAAAGTCCTGGATCACCCAAGTGCATAATATATTCTCGTTCCTTGACAGCTCAAAGCCGTGCAGACATTACTGTACGATCTGAAGAAGACCCAGAATGTTGAGATTCTGCTAGAACAGATCGAGGCACTGGAGGAGGACCTGGCACAATGCGAGGCGAACGTGCAGCCGACCCCACTACCTGGCTCAGGAGACGACTTCTTGTTTGTGCCATGGGAGGACGTTGCTAATCAAGGTATAGAAACCCATGAAATTGAGAAAAAGTGAGATCAAAATGGGGATGTGATAATAAGAGATGTGGCAAGAGAAAATGGGGAGAGAGAGAAGAGGGAGGGAGGGAGGGAGGGAGGAGAGAGAGAGAGAGGGGGGGGGGGGGGGGGGAGAGAGATGATAGTTATAACCCGATAATGTGAATGAGGTTTAATTTTGTATCCACCGTTACGACCGGTCCCTACATTATGTTAATGACACCAAGCCCCTCCATATCTTGCCCAGTCTACTTCAATCAAATGGGTTGGTGAATCCAATTCCGAAGTTGCCCCTTTTTATTTCTAATAGGTGCCTGTTCCATAAGATGAGGGTTCTCTTGATTTAGTTTTGAAATGTATAACACTGTTCCCGAGGATGTTACCCCAAGATCCCAGGAGAAGGATTGAAATGTATATGATAAACTATGAATAAACCAAGAGCGGGGGGGGGGGGGCAGCACAGTGCCCCTCCACTTTTCGAGTACCCCTAAAGTGCCCCCTTTTACATAGAAAAGGTGGCCCCTTTTACTTAAAAAATTGCCCCTTTTTATTTTTAATAGGTGCCCGTTCGATAACATAAGTGCCCCTCCACCAATGATAATTGCCCCTATTCAAATTTGAGAGGTGCCCTTTTCTTTTGTAATAAATGCCCCTTTTTATCCTTAATGAGTGCCCCTACTCCGCTCTCATATGTGCCTTCTTTTATTTTTACACATGCCCCTTTGTTTATTTAATAAGTGCCCTTTTTGCTCCTTTTCTTTTATAAAGAGCCACTTCCCTCTTTCATAAATTCTCCTCACACGAATGCTAAATGCCTCTATTAAAATCTCACAGGTGCCCCTTTTTCGACAAAGGCCCTTTTACCTTCGTAATAAGTGCCTATTTTCCTTCGTAATAAGTGCTCCTAGTCATCTCATGTGAGTGTCACTTTTCAGGTACAAGAAATGCCCCTTATATCACCTCTGATAAGGTCCCCTTCACCTCTTATAATTTCCTCTTTTCAAATCTAAGAGGTGTCCCATTTATTTTGAAAGTTCTAAGTGCCTCTTTTCATCTCCGGTGAGTGCCCTTATTCAAGTTAGAAAGGTGCCCCTTTTAAATTTGTAATAAGTGCCCCTTTACATCTCTGATAGATGCCCCTTTTATTTTGAAGCGTGTTCCTATCCTTTCTAATTAGTGCCATATTCCTCCTGATAATTGTCCCTTTTCCTTTGTATTAAGTGCCCCGTTTCCGTTCTCATACGTGCCCTTTTTTTAATCTCTGGTGAGTGTTCCTTATCAGGTGCAAGTAGTGCCATATTTTCAACTCTGGTGATTCCGATTTTTACTTTGACACGCGCTCCTTTTCTTAACTTTTAACTTTGGGTATGTGCCACCTTTTCCTTTCACCATAAAATGTGCTTCTAATTTTAAGAGCAACTTTTTCTTCAATTTTACCCAAGACTCGCTACGCTCGCTTGTATTTTAAGTTAATATAACTTTGTTTCATATTAAAGTTTTTGTATAGTCTTTCATGAATAGGATTATTATTTTTTTCTTTATAAGATGTAACTTTTCGCACTGCGACCTCGCATATCTTAACATTTTAGCTCACTCGCAAATAAATATTTAGAACATCACACCCAACTGCAAAGTGTGATATAAAGTGATACTCTAATCACAATGTAGGGATACAAGGGCCTACCAACATCTGCTTAAGAGGTTTCCCTTTGTAGGTGCCCCCGTTTCCAGAAAGTGCCCTTTTTTATGTCCCCTCATTTTGAAAGACTTCCGCCGCCCAATGGTGTTTGTGACATGATTGTAATTTGATAATCAACAAAAAAGCCGAGTCGTAACAGTCAGGAGTAATTAAATTAAAAGCATGTACAATCTATAGTCTCATAGTTCAAAACACTCAATTACATAGTAAAACCGATAAGAGTTTGTCCCTGCAAACTTCCTCCCTCAGGCTCCCCCCCCCCCCTCCCCCCCCCTCTCTCTCTCTGTCTCTCTCTGTCTCTCTCTGTCTCTCTCTCTCTGTCTCTGTCTCTCTTTCTCTTTCTCATATATTGCTGTTTTATGTCACCAGGAGCTTTTAATTCTGAGCCCTCTCTTTTTTCTTCTCCAGCTCGGTATGTATTTTGTTTAATTGTCTCTATGTTGAATAAATAAAATGTATTTGAACTTCGGAACTTGCCATTACACCGACGTTGTTATCTCCCCTAATTAGATTCCTGCGCTCCCATATCTTCTCTTTCATCTTCCTACACGGTGCGCACTTCAACCTACACGAATGGGGCTTGGATGCGAGACCCACTGGTCGAACCTGACAAAATCTGGCACTTCAAATTTCATAGTTCGTGAGTAATCATTCTGATGTTGGAATTCTTATATTTTGTGTTTTTATTTGGGGTGGAAGGGGGTCGTTTCAGGCGTGATCATTGACTTAATCACAACATCCTACATGGAAAGCAACTGATTAATCAGTTATTGGATTTAGGCTTGGGCCCCGGCCCCCCCACTCAGGTTTCAAAATGACCGCATGCGTGTTGCCAAAATGTCCTTTTCGTAACAAAAGAAAAAGGTCGAGCCGTATTGACTTTACACACCGGACTTTTGCTGAAAAGGGGGGGATGCTGAAAAAGGCTCGTATACAAAAGAAAAAGGTCGAGCCGTATTGACTTTACACACCGGACTTTTGCTGAAAAGGGGGGGTCGGTTGGAACACGCATATGCGTACCCTAAATAACACTGAGTGGGGGGGGGGGGGGGGGCCGGGGCTTGGGCAGAGCCAGAGAGGAGTCCCTGCGTTTGAGTCTCTTTCGAGGGCAATGGTGTAGAATGTGGAAGGGGGGGGGGTACTTACCCCTCTATTCATTCGTCATAAAAATGGTGAGATAGGAAGAGAGAGTGGGAAGGATAAAATGGAAAAGGATGTCTAATCTCCCGACTCTCCCGTGTATTAGATCCATCTAATAAGACAATATTGACCCAATCCCCATGACTATAAAAGGGACTGTATAGGTATATATATATATATATATATATATATATATATTTTTTTTTTTTTTTTTGGGGGGGGGGGTCCCCATCTCGAATGGCTTTTCAACAAATTAAGCTCTGAATTGTAACTACGTTTACTAAGTTCATATAGCCCCCCCCCCCTCCCCACCCCCACTAGTGCAGCAAACACCATTTCTCCTTTCATAAATATTTATATTTCTAAAAAAATTGTGTTTTTAATTTTTTTCTTTTTAAGTTTATTATCATGCGAGGGATCCAAGTGAAGAATAACAGATAATTGTAATTTTAGAATGATGAAAATCTGCATTTTAAAGCACTGTATTATATACATCGTTGTAATGCAAAATAATCATATGTAATTGTAATTAGCCTTTTTTCGCTTGTGCGGTGTCTGGGTGGGGGGTGGGGCAGAAACAGATTATGCCCTCCGCTTGAATGATTGGGGGCCTCCGCCCCCTCTCCTACCCCCTAACCTCCTTCGTCTACCTCACTATTCCTCTGATAAGGAACGGTGCACATTTTGTAGTTATAAACCGCTTCACAATTTGCTTCACGACATAGTATAAGGAACACTAAAACAATAACATTTTATTTCAAAAACACTTCAAAATACCTTCAGGTACCCACTAACCTATCAAGTTCATGTTCGCCGTATTTAGGTCTATCTTCTGGGACTTTTCCTCATGAAAAGTGATGGATTAGAATGGATATCAAGAGGGTACTTTTATACTGTGTAAGCCAAGAAATGTTTTAGTGTGTACATTTTATCTCATTATTCTCTCCTTTACAGATGTCCTTCTAGCTCCATCTACAGATATATTGAGCGATACATCCTGTATGAGAGCTATGAGAGAGAAGCATCCTCGGAGGCACAGACTTTCAGTCTAACAACAAACTATGCCTTAGGTGGACCAGGTCTTGTAGCATACAACGGATCTATCTACTTCACCTACTACAACTCAAGGACAATGTACCGGTATGAGGTGGCCACAGGCACGACGGTCATTACCAAGAGTCTTGACGAAGCTGGCTATGGCAGTACTGCTGCCTATGAATACATGGGGCGTGCATGCAGTGCTATCGACTTTGCTGTGGATGAGAATGGACTATGGGTGATCTACGCAACAGCCAGCACGAGCATGAAACTCTCCCGATTGAATCCTTGGACCCTTGACATCGTACAGACATGGAGTCTCAACTACGCCAAGAGCAGCTTCGGAAACTGCTTCGTCATCTGCGCCAAGCTCTATTGCACCAACCACTACAGCGCTAAGGATTCCAAGATCTCCTTCATGTTTGATACCGTGGCGGGCGTGGTGAGCTCCCCAGACATCAGTCTTGGGATTCGCTATGGAGGACTGTATACCTTGGACTACAACCCACGGGACCAGAAGCTCTATGGATGGGATAATGGCAAGATGGTTCTCTACGATATCAGATTTGGAAACTAGTTTCAACATCCTACACATCCCCTTTTAAGGTAGTCTGTCCCTTTTGCAGGCTGAAAATATAAAATTATGTAAATCCTATGGCAAAAAAAGAGATAATCGTACCAACTAAAAACTCCCCTTAAGAGATTAGAACTGGTAATTGCCTCTATATGTGGAATTTTATCGAACGTCAGGAATTTTCCAAACGCAAATAATAGGCCTAGAAAGTTGTTGAGACCCATGTACTACATCTTTGTACGTTTTGTGCTGAATAAAAATTTAGTAAGTTTAATTTTAGTCATTATATAAAGGGGGTCATTGATGTGTACAAATGATAATGTACCCTTTACAGCTAATTTTATCTACATGTACATGTAATACAAACAAATTTTAAAATGTTAGTCAGTCACTAAACAGCGTCTGACAGAGAAGTCTAGAGAGTAAACGGTTTCCCTTGCATAACTAGGTCACTGCTAACGTTTAAATTTTACAGATAGGACATACATGACATACTCATGTTTCTTGCGTAGTTCTACATAATTTGATGTTGGCTGCAAAAAGGAAACACTACCTTTAAGGAACGGAATTGTTACTTCATTGATCTTTTGATTACTAGTGCATTATAAGTAAAAAATTATTTTCTCTCTAATTTTCAAGGCAAATTCTTCCCTTCAAGATTAATCTCAACACAGGGAATAGCTCTTTTCAATTTGTTGAATAAGTTACATAATTCAACCAGACTGATAACCGTGATGTACTCTGCAAAAAATGATAGTGGACAAAATTTAATACAAACCGTTAATAAAATATATACACTGGTATATTGAATAAATTGAAAATTATACTCTACCAAAATCAGGGCTACATACAACTCATATTTTGTTATTCCATCATCTGAATATACCTCAAAGATTTTTAAATATTTGTTAAAATAATTTTCACAGACCTGCTAAGCTCTACCCTAAAAAAAAAAGATCCAAATCTCATTAGTGAGCCAACAAGAGACAGTGGTATGTAACTTCCCCCAGCTCAGCACACGCTCACCAAAGAATTCCATTCTTTCATACAATACCTTCGTATTACCTTTCTGTTCCTGGTGATGCCACAGCATGTCTGACATAGCAACTCCTATGTTGTATAGACCATGCTCTTATGGTCTATTGTAAACAGGTGGTCAGCTCTCATAGTACATACCACTGTCTCTTGTTAGCTCACTAATGATTGACAGATGATGTCACAAGATGAATGGGATCTGGAGCTTTTTTTTAGGGTGGCGCTTAGCAGGTCTGAGAAAAATATTTTAACAAATATTTAAAAATCTATGAAATATATTCAGATGTTTGCATAACAAAATATGAGTTGTATGCAGCCCTGCACATCAACATGAATCAACTTATATTTGGATGTCACCTGACCGTTAACAGATTTCTTAAAGGGAAAGTCCACCCCCAAAATAAGTTTGTTTCGATAGAGGCAGAATAATAAGAAAATCAGGTGAGTGAAAGTTTGAGCAAATTCTGAATGAAAATAAGAAAGTTATGAATTATTGAAGTTGTGTTCAATCAAATACAAATTGGCAACTCTGTGACTTATTATACAAGCTCTCCTTCATTTGCTTTGTGCATAATATTCCATAAAATCATGTTTTCTTCGTTATTGATGACGGAATATATATTTGTTCCTTGCAGGGGGAGTATAGAAACATATTTGCAATTATTATATTTAGGGTGCATGTATGGTTGAAATTTTTCTTGAGGGAAAATGAAAATTTTAGATTTTTTTTAGTACTGAGCAAATGGAAGTTGAGCTCGCATGATACGTCATTGAGTTGCCAATTTGTGTTTGATTGATCACAACTTCAAAAATCCTAACTTCCTTATTTTTAATCGGAATTTGCTCAAACTTTCACTGACTTGTTTCTCTCATTTTTCTACTCCTATTAAAACTAACTTAATTTTAGGGTGGACTTCCCCTTTAAATGATTTATTAAAATTATTAACCAACTTTAAATGCAAGGTCTAAATCAATAAAAGGTACAATCAGTTGAGGAGTTTCAGCTTATACTGTTCTTTATTAGCTCACTTTGCTTGCTCACAAACAAATAACCATTTTATTACCAGCTACGTTTGTCAAGAAAGATGACTATAAACAATACATATATACCAGCAGTGGATTAAGAAAAGGGGGTATTAAATGAATATTTGTCATATTTGTTTACACTAGGTATTTGTAGGTGACCCCCTCTAAAAAAAGGAGCCTTTTTTTGGCAAAGAACACACCTCAAAAAATGTTTGGCCACCTGTTGTCAATTGATTCATGAAGGCAATGTCTACTTTCATAGCACATCCTGTTTGGGATAGAAAAGCCTATGCTCTTTGTCTTATCTCTCTGTGAACCTCCTTCACATGTTCCATTTCCCCAATTTTTCTTGATTCGGGCTATCCCGACTCTAGCCCCATAAGACATATGACATTTCTACATATTATACACGTATTTCATCCATGATTGAAAATGTCTTGAAATGACTTGGACTAATGGTAGTGACACCAGAAAGCAAGTAGTTCAATGGTCATATCAAAAGATGCTTCATTTTTTTGTCTGAAATACCTGTATGTATGTAGGGAAAAACACATTCAGATCTCTGTTGTACGGGACAAACGTAACATGGAATGCAATGTGTGGGACTTAGCCTTATGGTTTTAAGCCTTGACCTTGAGTTTTGAACCTTGACTACAATACTGAAGAGGAGGGCAGGAGAAAATCTGATCCAATATACATAAGATAACACAAAAGTTGTTGATTAACAATTTACTTTTAAAATAAATTGTCTTTAAAAAGTACAAAATACTTATAATTGAATATACATGTAAATTTAGTTCATCAAATCATTATTTTGAATATACTTTAAAATTAAAAAATTGTTGAGGTATTGAAAAACAATAAACATGGTTAAATTTTTGAATAATAAAACCTGAAATGAATAATGATGAGTATGTGGATATATCTGAAGTATTTATTTAAAAATTAAAGTTGTCTTTCTCTCAGCCACTGTCAAGTTGATTTATGATTAATTCATAATTCATATTGTTGGAACAGATTATAGCTTAAACATTGATATGAATTCAAAAGGGACAATTTAATATTTCTTCTATGATGAATAACTAATCTTAAATCATGATGGACAGAATATAAAAACCGGAAAATACCAAACACCAAGTGAAAGTTTTCTGCATCACCCTGAAATATTAGGTTCCTCCTCAAACCAAGGTTGCTGGTAATTAGTCATTGAATTTCTTTGCTTTCCATGCCCTTATGGCTTATGCACATAAACCAAGAGATATAAATTATTTTAATACAGCCTTATTTATTAATTTGCTTGTAACCCGAGACTTTCCATTCTGATGTTTTTGTTTTAGCATTTAACTGGAAAAACTAGGTTGAACGTGTTGAATAGTATCTTCGTCTTCATCTTCTTTTATGCTTACCTGCAATGATAGAGCACAAAATCTTTAGTATGAGTCACCATCATCATCACTGCTACTACTCTTTTTATGTCTCTTCTTTGATTTCTTCTTTTTTATGTCTCTATGTTGTCTCTTCTCTTTGCGATGCTTCTTGTGGTGTCTTGATTCTTTCCTGTGTTTACTTCTCCTTCTCTCATCCTCCTCACTTTCTTCTTCGGAAGGACTCTCTTCGTCCTCATCGTCATGCCTAGAAGACCTTTTGTGTTTCTTTTTCTTCTTGTGTCTCTTATCTCTTTCTTCCTCTAAGGTATCTTCATCTTCACTTGAGGTGTCTTGTCTTGATGTTTTCTTGTGTTTTCGTTTCTTGTGACGTTGGTGCTTTTCATCTTCTGAGGAATTCCCACTGCTATCATCCAAAGAGAGTGGCGATCTTGAACGACTTCTTCTGCAGTTATGATCAAACAGATTTCAGAAATGGTGACAATATTATCAACAAGATGAAATTTGTATTTACAAAATAAATCATGAAATTTACCATTAAAAAGATTTTTCAATGTCTACTTAAAAATGTATTCCTCCTTTTGTAAAAAATATGAAAAAAGAAAGAAAGAAAGTTTGATTAAATACTATCTATACCAAGCATTTCGATTGGGTCATTAGAATCTATCAATCTAGTGTAAGTTAATGTTGCATCCCATTCATTGCAGAATGAAATACAAATACATGTAGAAATATATTCTTAAAGATACTATGTCCCTTTTGCAGCCAACATCAGATTCTGTAGAATTTTGCAGGAATTATGAATATGTCATGTATGTCCTATCTGTGAAATTTAAACGTTAGTAGCGTCCTAATATTCAAATTATGCAAGGAAACCTGTTTACTTGCTAAACTTCACTGTCAGACACTACTGAGTGACTGACTGGCTTTTTTCTTCTTTGGTAATAACATACATAAAATGAGCTGTAAAAGGTACATGAGCATTTGTCTACATCAATAACCCACTTCTTGTAATGGCCAAAATTAAACTGATTGAATCTTTGCGCAGCATAAAACGTACGACCATTCGGTACAATGGTCTGAAAAATCAGACTATTACTTACTGGCTCTATAGCTCTTAAGTTGATTCAACAACTAATAGTCCTTATTTTCCCACTTAAAGACATTTTCAAGCCCCACCTTTTTTAGGGAAGTTCTAAATTAGTATTATCTTTCAAATGCCGCTGGAATTCAACCTTTTAATTTTTTTGGCCTGCAAATGGGACATAGTACCTTTAACATTGACAAGCCTCCAATTCAGTGATTACCTCCAAACTTACATGTCTCACCTTACAAATCTCTTCTTGTAAATTGACTTCTATTTAATAATATAAAGTTATCAATGTAGCTATGGAGCACTTACCTTCTCTTTTTCCTCTTCGTTTTATGCTTTCTCCTTTGATCTGTATCTTTTTTATGAGCAGCTTTGTCTGTAGAAAAGAAATTGTATTTAGTATGCAAGTTTAACCCATTGGATATGATTTAAAGGGAGAGTTGAGTTCTGTTGCAGAGGGCGCTACACAAAATCATTTTTTTGTGAGATAATGAAAAACTGAGTGTCAAAATTGAAAGAACATACAATTTAAATGACAAAATCATCTTTGTTTGATCCAAATCGGTTCAGAGACGGCTGAAATATCCATAAATATAAAGATTTCTTATACTTGTGTACCACCAAAAATATTGGATAATCTGAAAAAGCCATTGAAAAAACGAAAAAGCGCCTTTTACATCGTATTTCAGCCAACGCCGATGTTGGCTTTTTTTTTGGCATTTTCGTGTTGGTTAGGCACAACCAGCCGGCCCATGTATTGTTATTTTTAATTAAATAATTATTTAACAGTCACCGTATATTTTTGAAAGTGGAGCTGAATTGGTATGATCGTATTGGCTAAATTTCACACATTTTGGGGTCTACAATTACCATCATAGCAATTTTAGGTTCTAAAAGGGCACTAGAAATGTCATAGATAAGAATAAGAGCAATAACCATGCACTTTGAAGGCATTTGCAATCTGAAAACAGAACTCAACTATCCCTTTATTATTGGTATTCCAAAGTTTCCACACATTTTTCATAGACTCAAGTCCAAGTTCACTCTGGCTTTGATCATTTGAATTAACAGCTAAACATGAAATCCCTTCATTTATAGTATTACGTGACAGAGAGTTGATAACAAAACATGATATTTGAGTGATTTCTCTTTCACTGACAGTAAACTTGGAGAATTCAATATCACATGACAAATTGACAATTAACATTTTGTGGTTTAGAAAATATGCAGAATAATATCCGATCAATTCTGATAACTTATAAGTGATTACAATAACAAATAGTGTTGATCATTAGGCTTCTCTTTGACTCTGAAGTCTGCATGAGGCTGGTCCAATATAGCATTAGGAAATGAATTTTAAAAAATATGACTGTTTCTTCCAGGAAACCCTAGAATGAAATAGTGAACACACCCGTTATGTACGATAGCATATATGTTTGGATGGAAAATAGGTTTTATATCAGTTGCTGCTTTGTTCTAGAAGCATTCATAAAGTATGATTGAATTAGTTTGACTAAGTATCTATTGTATCGTTAATAATAGAAAAAGAGTAACTCAAAACTAATGTCATAAATATTTCATCAAGCCTTTCATGCAAGTTTCTTCACAAGAACCCAGGTAATGGACTATGCATTATATTGGACTATTGGACTATATTATACTAATTAAAGCATATCTGCTCTAGTTTAGCCAGTAGGGATTAGACCCCCCTGGGTGGTTATCTCGTCAAATCAGCTCTCAATTAACATAAGAAACAGGAGATCATGGGGGACCAACTGGTACCGATTAGGCATTGTTTGCTATATAGAGGGCGCACGTAGCTACAAGTAGTGCAGTCCCGCTTTAAGTTAAACCTGACGCAGGTTCTTAACTCAATTTTGATAAAAGTAGTTTAGACATTGAACTGTCCGAGGGATGAAATTCAATAGAACACTGTCTGACCAAACAAAAACTTCATGAAGAAGCAATGAGAAGGTGTGTGCAGCACAATCGTACAATAAGCGAATTTGCATTTACCCCAGAACAATAAAAGTGTTGCTTGGTTAAACATCGACTTCACATATGTATGACTTTCTTTGTATTTTTTTTTTTTTGGGGGGGGGGGGGAGGGGGCATTTTTCTCATACTATCACTGATCAGTTTATCACATCATTCTGCTTCCATTCAAACCAACTAAATATCAAGGGTAACAGTTTGATCGAATACCTTTTGGTTTTGGTGGTAGGGCAGGCATCATGGACACATCTTCATCACTGTCCTCACTGCTGGTGCTACTGATGTCAAGGGTCACATCACGCTCGGGGTCGACCCTCACAAAGTTACGACACTGGAAGGTCAGGTGACCGGTGTAGCCGCATCTCTTGCAGGCGATGCGAGAATTTTCCTTGCTAGGATTCAAGAGACCTAAAAAAAGGTGTAAATTAGGTAGTGAAGACTGGCATCACGACTTCATGGATGACCATCAGATTTCAGATACAGATAGTAAAGACTTGCAGTATATATCAAACACGCAGTACATACATACCAAAGTCAACCATGAAAAGCAGAGCAATGAAAAAGTATCAATAACTGTAATATTTTAGCGATCTTACTGGCGGTCCAGCTCCTGAAATATGCATTTAGGAGCATTTTTGTTATGTAAATCGCACCTTAAGGCTGAAGTTCTCATTTTCATCAGGAAAATGTGAGGTAAGCAAATTGCTATCATTCAGTAAACAAAATCTACAATTTTTTTGTTAAATTCTTGACTCATTTCACTGTGCTTTGTTTGAGAAAAAGAAGAGTTCACTAGCTAACTCCGAAGCCAGTGTGCAATGTTCGTCGGGTACGGGAAGGAGCCATTTTGAATGCATTTTCGGTCGCATTTACCTGCCTCTTCAAAGCTAGGTGATATTAATTTTGTATTACCATTTAGCCCTTATTGCTAAAAGATGGACACCCAACTCCCCATCGATCATTCATAATCTTTCTAATGTTTGATGGCAAAATTTCACTTAAAAGTTAAATTGTATATGAAAGAGGATGTCTGCAATAGTGCAAAGATTTTCCCCAAATTAATGTGTGTGAAGACAAATACATGAATATTGAAGAATTGATACAAATTAAAACTTAAGTAAAGTAGACTCTAGGTCTATACAAAAGTTAAAGAACTAGTCTAGGTCTAACAGTTAGAGTTAGGGTAGCACGCCCAGTATTCGGTCAATTCCCAGTATTCGGTCAGACAGCCGTTTCAACAGCTGTAACAATTAAAAAAATAATTTATGAGCCACGAAACTTGCACAAATCAGGCAGCTGAACAATTTTTCTTAACTCTCAAAATTAAATCAGATTTAGGGCCCCGGAAAGATCTCCAACTTAGCTCGAAATTGGTCAGTGTCGCACAACTTTCCGCACTTCCGCGTTCTCTTAGCACATGCGCTAACATGCATAGCCATATGTAGAAGTCTATTGCGAAACAACTACGTGTGCTGTCACAATGAATTAAGTATGTGTGTGAAGAGAATCACTTCCGTGTTCGCTCCATCGCAGCGAATTTGCAAATGACGCACTTGCCGATGTGCAAGAGGTATTTATACGATACCCTTGCCATGCGGTATCGCTCGGCCAGTATTCGGTCAACGCATTGACATTCAGTGCTTTATCGCGCAATTGTGTGAAAATAGTGCGCAAATACGCTACGCTCCTTTGCAACGGAGATACCACGCACAAATTGCGTGACCGAATTCTAATCGGCGCGACCGAATTCTGGGCAGAAAAATGCTCCGTCTTCTTTCGGAAGTATTTTGCTTATCATTATTCTATATTTTAAGTGACTATAAAATCCTCTTTTGATGGGTAGATTGCCAAACAAAAGAGGTAAGAATTCAAAATATTAGTGATTTCCCCTTAAGTGACCGAATACTGGGCACTCTACCCTAAGTTAAGTTAAAGTTAAAGAACTAGAGTAGACAGACTAGAGTCTAATTAAAGAACTTAATCAATAGTAGTCTAGATCTAGTCCTAAATTTTGTATTCTTTCATCAATATTCGACTTCAAACACATTTGCTTTGAAAATCCTCACATTATGATACAATTCAAGTGAAATTTTGCCATCAAATTGTTGGGGCTCCCAGCACTGTTTTAGAGGGGCTTGTCTTTAACTTACTTACACAAACTCCAATATGTGGAGCGGTGTTAATAATACTTCGATTAATTTTATCCTCAAACAAGTGCTCTCAGCCTCTCACTGTTCTAAAATATGATCCTCATGAACCTCGTGAAAGTTTAAGATGATTTAAACAGAAAATCGTTTACCTTGCATCTTTCCTTAAATTATTTACGAAACTTCCCGTCTGTTCTGATCATCTGCGTTCAAAGTCAAAAGTCTAATAAAAATAAAGTTGTAAACGCCCTCAGCGCCGATTCGCAGCTAGCCAGCGCCACATGCACAGAACATTCATTGTTTTGTTTTTCCAGGGACAAGTCCTTGTTTTTCTGACCTTTCTTTCCTTCTTTCTTTCTTTATGGTGTCCTACCAGTCAACTCAAGTGTGCACCAATTCATTCTTCCAAAAAGGCCTGGCAAAGGCTTATCTTTTTTTCAGTATGTTTTCTGTTTTTTATTGATTTATCAATTTTTTAAATTTGTAATGTATTCAATCTTGTTTTGAATGTTTGCATGCCTACTATCAAGAAGCAACTTACACTTGGGCCGCGGCGGTGATGGACGAAGCGAGAGGGAGGGGGATAATGAGGAGGGGGAGAGTGTTCAGGTGAAAATATGAATAGAATAACGATAGACCCTGTGTGACAATCAATTATTTACACCAATAATCATTATAAATAGCATGCAAACATGATGAATGCAACAGAAGCTCATTCGGTCGCTATATTGTCCTCGCATAAGGCCAAGTAACAAAAATAACGAGTTTTTCGTCCGGACTTTAAAAAAAAAAGAAGGACGCAACGCTTTACTATTTACTATTTTTCGGTTTTTGCCTTTTTTCCCTCCAAAATGACCGCCATGCTAAATACGGCTGGCCAAGGTATATTTATTCACAGGTACTGTGCTATTTGAGTATACTGATACATTGCATGGGCGTCAATCCAAATTAGACCGTGGGGGGGGGGGGGGGACACAAGTTCAGACAAGGCGGCGCCAGGTTATTTTGTTAGGGGGCGAATGGGCGCGCCACGCAGGGGGGGGGGGGGTGTCTGAGGGGATGTGCCCCTCAGAAGTTGAAGATTTTTTTTATTTAAATTGATGCTTAAATGGCTCGCTTTGGTGCATACTTTTTGCCAAATTAAAAAGAAAACAGTCTAACATGAACGAGAACGCAGAGGGTGTATGAGGGGGATATGCCCCCTCAGAAGTTGAAGTTTTTTGTTTAAATTGATGCATATGATGGCTCAATTTTTTTCTTTATGCCAAATTAAAAAAAAAAAACAGTAGAACGAAGGGGGTGTCTGAGGGGGGGGGGGATGTGCAGTTCCCCTCAGAAGTTGAAGTTTTTTTTTTTAATTGATGGATAGATGGCTTGATTTTTTGCATACTTTTTGCCAAATTAAAAAGAAAACAGTAGAACGAAGGGGGCGTCTGAGGGGGGGTGTGCCCCCCACAGAAGTTGGAGATTTTTTTTTTTAATTGATGGATAGATGGCTCGATTTGGTGCATACTTTTTCCCAAATTAAAAAGAAAACCAACGCAGGGGGTGTGCCCCCCTCAAAAGTTGAAGATTTGTTTTGAAATTGATGAATAGATGGCTTGATTTGGGGCATAATTTTTGCCGAATTAAAAATAAAACAGTCTTCAGTTCAACTAACAGGAACAAGAACGCAAGGGGGGGAGGGGTAGATAGATGAATTTGTCGTTTCCATTGAACAATCAGCCATAAGGTTCGGAAGATTCAAGGCATTAATTTGATTTTTTTTTTTTTCAGTTGGTGAAAGGATTTTCATCGTAAACCAATGTTTGAACTTCCGGTAATGTGAATGTAATATTAATGACGCTTCTATTAATAAAATCTGATCGCCTGATTTGGCTTGATTATCTCAACACAGAGAGAAAGAGAGAAAGAAAGAAAAAAAGATTTTAACCCCAAATCATGGGGGGGGGGGGGGACATTTCACCACCTGAAAATTCCGCCCCCCCCCCCCCAGGATTGACGCCCATGATACAATGTAATGACAAAACAAATGATTAGTATAATTATGGTCCACTTGCTAAGCAAGTTTCGAAATTCAAAAACAGTGAAAAATGTAATTGTATTAAGCTTTAATTAGCTATACAAGCTATTCATACAAAAAGTACATCACATCCTATTTTATTTTCCCCCTTTTTTCTAAAAAGGAGGCGGACGAGGACGAGAAATCAGTTAATTTGTTGTTATTTGGCCTGAAGTCCTCCTTAGTCCTTATAGTATTGGCCAATGTTGGGTATATCGTATAATTTTCAAGTAGGCCCATATTCATAATCAAAACATCAAAGTCCAAAACTATCGTAGATTAAAATGGGGTATCACCCATGTGCCCTCTCTTCACCTTCGCGTTCAACACCGCCTTGCGATTATATAGCTATTACTGTCTTCCCCAATCCTTTGAGTTACTGCCCTCTATATAATCATCTGTATATTGTTTTGTTTATGGTATATTCCATAAAGCATTCATAACGGAGCGGGAAGATCTAAACAGTCACACTATTCTACCTTGGAGGTCTGGCCATTCGGAAAAGAGACAGCGCTTGTGTGAGAGGAAGAAACAAAATAATGAAGAAACGCAATAGTCTTTCTGAGAGGCGTCATTGCATCAAGATGATAAGGACATTTTGATTGAAATTGATTCCGCAGACTTGATTTAGGAGGGGTGTCAATCTGATTGGGTGAGAGAATGAGGGAGGAATACTTTGGTTGGAAACTGCAGACTTGAATTAAAAGGGACGTTAATCTTACAGAGTGCCGGACGTGGAGGCAGGTTCTCGAAGAATATAATGTATAAATGATTATGATATTCGGGCTCCATGCAGGTAAAAAATGTGCACTCAAAATAATACCTAAAGAATTAATTGGAATCAAAATACTGTCTTATAGTGTATCAGAGAATACTATCTTTCATACCATAGATGAGTCAATCACCTCCTTTTTCTTTCGATAAATGATTTTTAATTGGGAAAAGATTATAATCTCATTTCATAATCAAAGTGCTATCCAGCTGAATTTTGAAACCATCTTATGGAGTGGAAAATCCTCTGACGCTCTTTAAGTTCAGACGGGTATTAATTATGCCTCTTGCACCGCAACATCCAGTACCGTAATGGATTTTTTTCCATTCCAATTGAAGGGAATGAGGGAGGATGTTATATTTCAGTGCAGTGATCTTGGTTGGGTTATTATCATCATGCTTTCTTGTGACCATGGACGTAGTAGGTCCATGTTGTGACAATGTTCTCCACTTTCCCCTTGCCATTCCTCACTTCCCATTGGTTCATTCCCCTTTCCTTCTTTAATTTTCATTCTTCCTTACGTTTCTACTATTCTTTTGTTTGTTTCAGTAAATTATTTATTCAAGCAATGCTTTACCGTATGCCCATAGCTCCACTATGCTATACAATGAATGATGAAACGTTTAAACCTATACTTTATTTTGAAATTGACTTGTATGCTTCACCATTATCATTTGTATCGTTTAAATTTATTAGTTAACGGATTAAAAGAAAAGAATTATACCATGTTTGTATGTATACATTATACATATATATTTTCGTGGAAAATAAATGAAATTAAACTTGAACTTCGCACCGCCCAATAATTGCATGTGGTTTTCCAGAATAAACAAGTTGCAAAATTATCACCGTAGAGGGAGACAACATCAGCACCGTGAGATAAATCCTCTGGTACACCACTACTACCCAGTAGGTCCATGACCAAACAAACTTACAGCGAATCGCCATCGAACACCCAAGTCGAATTCAGCGGCTTTCAGCGGACCACACACAGCGTTTCTCCACAGACTCGCTGGGTGGGCTATGTTCCACATAATGGGGGCCACCCCGTGCGTTTGCTGGTGTTGATGTTTTGCTGGTGGTACTGTCATATTGTCGTATTTTGGCGAGCCTTTCTTTCTGTTTAATCGTGGACCTAGGTCCCTGGTTTAATGCACCACTCCGAACCCCAATTAATCGTCATTTGCTTCGCTTATACTATCCAACTTCGAAGAGTTAACAACCCTCGAAAAATGCTTTTATTTTTCACGTCCCTGTAAAGTGTTTGTTCGTTCCTCTCATCTCCCTGTTCGTTCGCAGAATAAAGGGAAATTTCTCGGAGAATGAGCTGCGGTCGATTTTATTTCACCTGTCGTTCATATTCCCGTTCATCAATATGTTTTCTATTTCATGTTACTATGATAAAATAAATCTATTTCTTTGTGAATGTTTTATCTTCCTAAATGAAGAGGTGGAGTCATGTAGGTGGGATAGACACACTGATCATGATGAGCTTAAACTTAATATAGATATTAGATAATGTGAATTTGGCGATCGAAATAGGAAATAAGTCGGCTGCAAGAAGAGAAATATGAAACGATGTTATGATTTTGTTCTAAATTTCTATACACCTGATTGAATTTAACTTATGATATAACATTAACTTAAAATCTATAGAAAAAGTAGCCAAGTTCAAAAATCGTTTGTCGTTTGTTTTATTTCCGAAAATCATCATAGAAACAATAACACAATAAGTCACAAAATCAAAGACTTATATAACAAAAAAGGTTGGATAGTCCATTTCAGGCTCTGTTCTTCCATGGAGTCCAAAATCAAAACCAAAATGAAAATAAAACTTTAGGAAATATAATGACATGGAGACATATTTTATTTAGATTTGCAAATGCTTTATAATATGTTAATAACATAAGTCGTTCGAACGGACTTTCGACAAATCAATTTTCAGTATCCCAAGAAACCGTGATCGGATCGATGGGTCCTCGCCTATCTGTGCGCATTACAGAATTCAGTGAGTGATTGCAGCCCTTGCATGCAGGCTAGTACAATTGGCTATTGCTTTAGATTGACTTATCGAAAGTCTTTGCAATCCTGTTAAATCAACTAGACTATTTGAATCTAATGTAAGAATTTGACTAATGGACTTTTTGGATTAAAAAAAGGGAAATACGAATTAGAAGCCGAGACACCTTTGCGATTTTTCAGACTGGCCTGTCGGATGAATAATCCAGTTTAAATATAATTCTCTTTAATTGGCAATATCATTTCATGTTTCTGATCATTATTATATCATTTTTATGGTCTGAGTATAGCTATAAAGAGAGAGATATGAGGGAATTAGTACCGTTTTACAGCCTCACTGCTGTGAGCCCTTTGGGCCTTAACTATACCCTTAAGCATATTAATAGGGTTCCCAGTTTGTTGA